TTTTATGAGTGGTTCTGGTTGTGCAAAGGTGATAGAATTTCTGTTCTAGCCTTTCATTCTAGGCCTTTTTCCTTCCTTTTTTGCAGCTTCTCTAAAAAAGTCTTGAATTGCTTAGCTTAAGTTACCAGTGATCTTGGCTACTGTGGGCATTTTTCATATGAATTATATATGAAAATTTTTCCATTGAATTTATTGTGCATATTGTCTCAGATATGATGTGGCTCTGTCTGAACTCGAGCATCCAATATCATATGCATCTGAAGCTACTTTTCAGTACACACAAGTCCACGAGATTAAAAGTCTAAAGTCCAATGCTTTGAGTTCTTTTTTGTGAAAATTGGTAATTTGAAATTAAAAATACCCCGTGTGCAAATTTTTGCTATCCTCATAGTGATGCCCTTCTGCAGTTCTGAGTGGTCTGATGGCCTTATAAGTTTCATCTTTTCCTAATATACGTGAATAATTGCTTTTTCCAATAAAAGTAAATAAAAAGCTAGAGGAAATAGAAATGCAGGATAAAAAGGTCTTTATTGTATTTCCTAGGATCATGGAATAGTTTAGGTTGGAAGGGACCTCTGGATCCCTATGTTCCAGTTCTCTGCTAATGAATGGCCACCCAGAGCAGTTTGCCCAGGACCAGGTCCCGATGGCTTTCGAAGACTTCCAGGGAGAAAACACCACAAACTCTCTAGGCAGTTTCTATGACTCTGGAGGTCTGGTAGGCCTTGGAACTAAGATTTCAGTGAGAAGTCAGACAGAGAGATGGCAAGAGTTAAGTCACTACAGAAATGTGCCAGCTAGCCATGTGCACTGCCAGACTGCTTTTTTATTTTCAGTCTTTTTCTAAATCAGAACATGATTCTGGGTCTTCTCCTTGTGCTGCTTCTCATGGTTGGATGTAGAATCTGCATTCAGTGCTACAAGCACTGGTATTGATCTGTGAAGCTCTCAAGAGTAGATGGCTACTTAGCAAGCATGAAGGGAATTAAAATTTTAGGAAGCAACTTTGTAATAGGACTGGGGGAGCATTACATGATGCATAATGTGAGCATCTTTTGTAAAGACAATGGGGTAACTTACATTCCTTTTGGATTTTAAATCTTCTCTCTTTTTCTCTTTTTTTTTCTCTTTTTCTGCCCTCCCCAAAACATCCAGACAGTTATACCAACAAAACACTAAAAAAGATAATTGGAAAAATACAATAGATACTGCTCAGCAGAAGGTGTTGCTAGCATATCCCTGGTATTCTGAAGTTTCGGGGAGGATTAAAGGAATGGGAAAGGGGCATGCCATTATTTTATCATGAAATGAAAGCATAAAGAAAAGAGAAGAAAAGTTTGTGGCTGTATGTGTGATTGATAGGTCTTTGAGAATGGATGCTGAAAGAAAAGGACAGAATTGAAGAAGAACAAAGTGTTACCAGCATAGCTACAAAAGCAGATGCTCAGAACAAGGCATGGCATGGTTTGTGCTGTTTATTTTCAGAGAAATATATGAAAGGAAATTAGTAACTGATTGATTGTAGAGTGTTGCTCACCTGTATCCATGTCCTTTGCAGTGTGTTTTTTTTTTTTTTGTAGGCTGTTAAATCCACAGCACTTTTCTCTTCCTTCTTTAATTTGTGAAATGTGTGTTGATTTGGTTGTACTGACAGAAGATACTGAAGTAGCATGGGCACTCACCTCAAGTTATAGACTCCAACTTTGAGGCTTTGGAGTTATCTAGGGCGTGTAGTTCTCTTTTTCCATGTATAAGTTTGTATTTATTGATCATGTGATTTTTGGTAGAAGAATTTTCATATCCAGTCATCAATCAGGGCTGGAATTTCCTTATAATAAATTAAGTTTATTCATTGTGTTTCATACCTGTATCATGGGCTTAACACCATTACTTAATGATACACAGGCTTTTAGAAGTCTGTTGTTCTCACCTACCAAAGATCCCTTTTGTCTGTTCCCTTTACTTATAGCCCATGCTACTCCAATTCGATTTTTAAAATTTAGTTAATAAACATTCTCCAGGTCTGCCACACCATCTTTTCTGAGACACTTATTTGATCATGTGGATGTCTGTAGAGTAGGTATCCAGACATGTTATATTCAATAGTAAGAAACAATCCATTCAGAGATAGTTTGTCTTATTGTGAAATGAACTCGTAAGACAGTTCAGATGAACCACAATGCAAAACTGCCTCTTTTTCCTCACTGCCTACAAAAACATTTGAGTGTGACTAGCTCAGAGATCTGTACGGTATAACAAGGTACGGTGCATATTACTTGAAGTGATTTTTCAGGTAGAATAAAGGGATATATAGAGAAATATCGTAGAACTACCATGGAATAAGACAGCATGATATGAGAAAAAGTGACATTTACAGTTTTTTGAGCAATAGTCTCTCAGCAGAATCTAGATGTGATGCCAACTGTGTACAGCTAACACTGACTTGAGAAGATATGTATTTGTAATTCAACTATCCTTTGCAACTGATTATACTTTGTTATCATTATTGTCAGGCCCATGTTATCATGCATAGGTCAGACTGTGTGACCTTATGCTGCCACAAGTAAATTAGGCCAGTTATATCAAAGCAATGGAGTGTGTATTCTGTCAGGTAACAGGTAAGGAGACCTTGATATAATTCTTATCTCCACCTCACGTCTTGTTTGACTTAAGAAACTGCTGTAGCTTCCCTGGGCCATGGCTTTCTTCTTAGTCTCTCATTCCACTTCTGATTTGTAGGGAGCTAGGCAACATCAAAATTAAAAATTGAAGCCCTTGAGTAAAAAATAATGTTTATGATGAGTCATATTTTAGCCATCCTTGTCCTGTCCATCCTTGGGATAATTGATGACTTAATTCTGCCTGAAGCTGAAGCTTCTGCAATCGTAATTCTGGCTGTCCTAGCATGAGGTGAAGTAGTATGCAGGTCACTAACGCTTTCAACTTTCTGGGCTTGGTGGTTTTAGATATTTATATTCTACTGTTAAGACATTTAAGAGTTTGATGTAAATTATGGCTCATTTCAGAAGTGGAAACAGCAATGACAATCACTTTCCATCTGTCAGTGCGACGTATCTTATTCATTTTTTTGCTGTCTTCACAATAAAAGATGCAATAGAGGTGTTTCTTGGGGTCAGAAAAGAGGAGGAAACTCTTAAAGTGCCTGACTGTAGGCTCACAGGGTTTAATCAGGGCAACAAGGTCTTTGCTGAATGAATATCATTGTTGCACGTCTCTAAAGAGACAAAGTATTCAAGTCCATGAAATACAATCCTCTCTTTTTTGAAGAGCTCAATCCCCACTGGGGCTTTGTTGGGTCAGGAGAAGGAGTGCTGAACAGTATTTTCTGGAATAGCCCAGTTCCAGATGTGCTTAAAGCCTAATAAGTAAGCAAGGATAAAAAGGAGATAAGCCAAATTATAAGCTTAATCCTTATGCATTTTTAGGGCTGTTTTCCACCTGCATCTGTCCATCCTGAACTGAATTTGTAAATAACAGTCCTAGCATTTTGACCCTAATTCTCTGATGATGGCAGGTAAAGGAAAAATACTCTAGGAATGTACTCCTTTCCCACCCACCTTGTGTCAGTCATCAAGAAGTAGGGATTTTAAATATAGATTGAATGCTTAGGAGAAGAAGACCTTGCCATAAGGGCTTTTGAAAATAAAAACAAGGTGAAATCCTTGCTGGCTCAGAGACTTTTCTGAATCTTTCCAGTACCCGAACAAAACAAAATCCAAAGCTTTTCTAGCTGAAGAATTGTTACACGTTTTGTCAGTGAAGCTAGGGATTAATCAGGACACAAATACTCTTGTTGTTGTTAACATTTATATAATGGTTATTGGTTAATGTGCATGATGATTAAGGGCTGGAGCTGCCTGTGATTGTAGTCAGTGGGAACTGAATTAAGGTTTAAATCACTGTTTGAATTTTACTTTTGATTTCCTGAAAAATAATGAGGCTTTGAACAGAGCAGCACCTAATTTGTCTATCAATGGAAACAAATCTTTCTCTTCCCACATGCATCTATTAGCTTGGGGGTCAAGCAGCTAACATGGAACTGACTGTTGAACCTTTAGCTTTAATCTAGGATGATCCCTTGGCTGACAGGGACAAGACCAGATACAAGACTGATTTTCAGAGTTGCTGCTGAGGGTACTTTATGATGGAAATGCTACATACTTGCAGCCAGTAATGCAAAAATTCTGGCTGTGCATCAAAGTAGTGGCCATTTGGACTATATAATTTGTACATCTACCAGCAAGTTGTCAAGGTCAGTGGTGCTGGTCAAGAAAAACCTTGATAAAGAAAGCAAAGCCTGAGTTCAGAATCTCCTTATTTGCAATGCTCAATGTCTTTGTTGTTTCTTGTTAATTCAGAGTGAGCAAACAGTCACTTTATGAGCCAATCTAACATTTCTTTTTTTAATGGAACACTGTTTTTATTAGATCAGAAGTGATAAAATGTGTTTTTTTATGAATGAAATGAGTTTTTTAAAAATTTCTTAATTAATGAGAATAATGTGAATATTGATCATTAAGAGTGTCAATTAAGCAAGTATGCGTAAAATGTCCAATATAAAGGAACAGCTATAATTAGTATGCTGGCAAACACTATTATCACATCAATCCAAGTATGCTGTATCTCACCCTGAGATGAAATATAACCTACCAAACAAGCCAGAGGATGCATCAGAAGGTCAGATGCCAATGCAAAGAGAAACAAATCTCCAAATGGGGAATAGAATTGAAAATAAAGAAATAAAGAACTTAAGAAATGAAGAACTCATAAGTGTAATGGCATCAATTCACTGAAGAGTTGAATGTTTTTCAAATTCTCGAGTTTCTTTTAGCTGAAACTCCAAAATTGTTTAAAAATGAACAGCTTTTAATTGTGAGTGTGAGTTTGGATCCAGCTGAACAGAAACATGTGAAATGAATGTCTCAGACATCACCCAAGGTATTTGTTTTAACATGTTTGAATCAATATGCCTCTTGCAGGTCTATGATGGTGTCCAGTAGAGAGCCAGATCTTGTGCACCTGGAGGCAAAGACAGTGGATGGTCGTAAGTACTTCATCTTCCAAAGACTGGTGTTCTGAACTGCCCTTAAATGCTTGTAAATACACCATGATGGAGATCTGAGTTTTTAGTGGTTCACTCGTCTAAGGCATGTCTGTCAGAAGAGAAGTCTTTCCAGCAGGGTAAAAAGGTGGGATTAAGAGCCTGTGAAAAGAGCTGAGAATATAGTAAGGAGGAATGTGTGGTAAAAAGTAATTGAAATAGAATTCTTTTTTTTTCCTATGTGATTTTTGTTTATAAAAGAGAGATTCCAGTATCACAGAGTCTATCTACTTGTAGTATCTCCTTGAACATAGCAACCATTTCAATTGACCAGGGATACTCTGCCTTAGGTACTACCTTTGAAAACACCTCATTTCTCTTGCATTAGAAGCCTTTTACCAACCTAAATGTATTATTCACTGTTACTACCTGTCACTGTCCTTCACTTTCATCAGCTGTTCTCCCTCTTTGCTTTGCCTCTCAAAGTGCTTTTCTCCATTCCAGCAACTACCTTTACCTGCAATGCCAGGTTGTTCTTCTAATTGGCTATGAATTCTCTCCAGCACCTCAAGCCACCAGCTGTCCTTCCCTCCTCTCACTCATGCTTCCTCAAGCCTTCTCTTTCAGCTCCCCTGCCTTTGCAGACCTTTCTCCATGGATTTCTTTTCCACAGCACTGGACTGCCTCAGGCATCACAACAAAAGCCTGGCTGCCATGAACCCTGTAATTGTCATTTCATATTGTTTCCTCTGTAGCAGCAACTTTATTGCAACATAACAAGCAGGTTTGTGCCATTTCCAATATGTTAGTGTTAATGATGCAGTCAGTTAATTCCTTTAAAAGAGGATCAAATTCTCCCCTGAACTGTACCTTCAAATTCAATGGTGTTACTTAAAATGTGTGTTTCTCATTGGAAACTTAGAAACTGTCAGAAAAAGTAACTGTAAGTAATCAGTTTTTTAATTCATTGAAATTCAGCATGAAAGAGAATTTTTTTGGAAGATGAATTTTGAAAAGAAACAGTTATGATAGAAATCATAAAGTTTTAAAGTTCTTTCCATTTTGGGATATGCAAAATTAGTAAAAGTGAAAGAATTTATTATCTCTATTTTTTTTATCATTTGTGCTCTCTGTTATTATTTCTCCTCTCAGCTTCACTTACCTGAACACAGTGGCAAGGCTGGGGACATGAAACTTTTTGTTTCTCATGACAAGTTAAATGAGAATGAAACATTCTAATAGGACAGCATCTTATTCAGCAGAAAAAAAATTGCTGTTACAAAGGCTTTCGGAATTTGAGGTCATTGAGACAAACCACTCTAATCAATGTTTAAGGAGCTATATCCCGGTGATGCTTTTGAGGGATGTTTGTCTCACACTTTGCAGAGAAGGTGCCACACTGCAAATACCTGGAAAAGTGTTATTTGAGTTCTTAGCCTCCAGTAAAGAACATTTTGCACAGCAATAGCACAATTCCACAAAAGATTCCTTGACTGCTTACCAAATTAGTACGGTTAGGATAGATCTTAAGGTGGAAACTAAAACATAGGTAGATGAAACTGTCTGTGATGAGGAGTCAGGCACGTTACTGAAGTTATTGCTCATCAGCCAAGCTCAAGTGACTGATCCGAGTGCACTTATTTTGGTTTAGTTGGGAGGCAGGACAACTTAAATTTTCTCTATTTAGTCAACAACAGAACTGCTAATATAAATCTATCTGTGGCTTCCAAACTTCACCTGTTGGTGACCTCCCTTGCAAACCAGCTATTGGGCTGAAATTTCTGCTCATGAGTCAAGAGGTTCCCAGCTCATCAGAAGTATAAGATGTTTGATATTCTGTAAGTGCATGCTCTGTTTTGTCAATTCTTCTAGAAAGCACAGGTCACTGACAGGGGACTACAGTGGGCAGCTTGAAGCAGTAACCTTGGAACATATCACTGCGTTTTTTGCCAGAAGACATTGGTTAGCATTGCAGGTCAGAGGACTTTGAAGCAGGCTGAGAGAGTATGAACATGGTCAATTACTCTAGTTACTATGACAGATTTCATGTATTCACCTTTCTTGTATACTAGGGCCTTACAGTACTAAATCAGTCATGATATAACGGCTGAACAAAAAACTGTTTACTCAAGTTCAAATAGGAAAACAGCCTTATGCTTGTTCCGGCACATTTTCCAGCAGAAGCTGAGTGGTACAACAACAGCTGTAGATGAGAAAATGTCAGCAGAGTATGGTGTTAGCCCATCTTCTTGTTAGAGGGTTGTCTGAGAACATCTATCAACAGCAACCTTAGCATTGGGTTTTCTCTACTAGAATATCAATAACTCTCTAACTCTGCTCTCTGATTACAGCTTGTCTGTGCATTTTATTTATTGTATTTATATACATAATGTAAAAGGTTTACAAGAGCCAAAATAGGAGTCTCTTAGCAGGCATAAATCAGAGTAACTTTAGTGGCAAGTTGATTTATACTTGATGAGGATCTGGCTAGCAGTGTTGTACCTGCACTCCCATTCTCCTTTATTTTCTTCTTTCTCACTATCCAGAAAAATGTGGGCTCATCCTGAACACATTATCTCATCAAACTAGGTACTAAACAAACTGAGTACAGACTGTATGATTAGTTTTACTGATGGAGGCAGATTAGCAGGGCTAGTCATTGCCATTTGTGTTTTTAAACCTGTTGTATAAATCTTGGAATGCACCAGGTAACTTTTTATCTCTTCAGATGTCTGAGTTAAGAAGGGGTGATTCTGTTAATTTTTTGAAGTCTTCAGGCTCGATTCTAGTCAAGCTGGGCTTGAAAGTACAGTAAGAAAACCTGATTTTTTTTTCAGTTGGAAGAAGTTCCAATGAACCTTATCTCACATTTCCATTTGTATGCCTGGGTGTCCCTGGTGTTCTGCTTTGATTTTGGAACAGGATCAGACCATACTGTCAAAGTCAGCAGGAATTGTGATTTTTTTCCCTTGTTTCAGGCCACCACCCCAGTAAGACATTTAATCCCCCACAGTTCTTAACATGATAAGCTTCTCTTTGTTGTATTCACTGCCATAGTCAGCAGCCAGTGACTGGTGAAAGTTAAATCCATATTTATTCAAATGCAATTTGAATGCTTTCAGGAGGTGTACAATCTTAATGGTATACAGATTCTACACTTTTTATTTCTCCTTTTGCTTGTTTGTTTTTGAAGAACAGCACAGAAGTATCCTTAATTCATGGTTATATCTGTTTTGAATTAGGGAGAGTTATCTCAGTAAGGCCTGATTCAGGCTAATTGATATGAGAATGTAATTTTTTCTGGGTGATCTCTATCAAGGAATCCAGACTGTTGGTGAGAATTTGAAAGGTGGATTTCTACAAGGCATTTGGAGATTAACTGTGTACCCATTGGCTCCCTCCAGAGAAAGGCAAAGCTGGCTTAAAGGATGTGTAAGGTTTTCCATGGAAAATTAACAAGTGTTAATTTATGAGACTCACGTTTGCTTATGTAGATGAATTTCAAATTATAATGAGTATCAAGTTTTTAATTTTATATTATATATAGCATATGTTCCTAATGTTCTGGCAAAAATTTAGAGAGTTTCTGATATTTCAAAAGTTATATTTCCTTTGCTTTTCTCATGTACATAGCAGCTTTTCTTAATCAAAGCGAATTTAGGCACTGCTGTGAGTACAGGCAAAACTAAGACCTCTCCTGGGGTCAGCTGGCATGCTCTGCTTGCTGATCAGCAGTGACTGAGCATCTTGCCAGTGGTATCTGAATCACAAAACCGTGCTAGGACTTCAATTTATGTTTTCACAGCAGATTGCAAGGAAGAGTAAAATAAGGACTGTAGTGGGGAAAAAAAATTGGCAACCTAGTTTGACAGGCCTTTTCTAATATAGCTGAGGTGGTGAATTAATTCTCAGTCCCCTAAACCTGCATAATGATTTTATTTTATTTTTCCCACCACAGCTGATGATTAGTATTTGTCTTGGAGAATGAAATGTGTTTGTTTCTCTAATTGTATCCTCATGATAGAAAAGGCAAAAGATATACTTACCCATTCAAAGAAAGACTCTTGACTCTGACTTGCAAGGAAGAAAAGGGAGTAGTAGGACAAAATCAGATTTGTGAGCCAGTTAGTAAATGGACTGGACCATTTCATCTTCATTACTGTTAATTGTTTTGCAATTGCTGAGACCTGGAGAATTGTGAATGTATCCCCAGATCATAAATGTTTCACAAATCAACATTCAGACCAGATGGGAATAGATGAAGAACAGTCATTCTGTGTGTTTCGTCAGCAAAAGGGGATGGGAACATTATAGTATGAGAGAACAGGTAAATAGTGGTATTTATTCCCATTGAAGGTTGTGGATGCTGAAGGTTTACCTTAAATGCAAAGCATGTGGACAAATTCTTATAACCTTTTCAAGGTTTCTCTTATTAGTCACTACTGAAGATAGGGTACAGGCCTGGGTCTTCAGTGAGATATGTTACTACCATGTTCTTATCGTTTATTAGTTAAAGGATGTCAGTCATCCTTCAAAAGCAAAAACTATCAATAATATTTGTTGCTCAGTAATGAATAAGGTGTAGTCCATAGTAAGTCTGGAAGACAAATAAGTCCTTTATTGCGTGGATGCTCTTCACATAAACTCCTGAGTGGTCATTAGTGGATTTGATTGTAGAGAATAGCAGGTATTCCTCAGTTAATTAGAAAAGAAAATAAAAAGCAGGAGGAATGTGTTTGCTGTAGTACAGTGAATTCTTCCTCTGACTATCCTTGTGATCAGAGTTTTCCAGAAACGTCCATACAAGCTTAGATTGGATAGAAGAGAATGGTAAGTCTTGAGCTGTCATCTAAAATAACATTCTGGAACAAAGTGTCCTGAAGAAAGTCTTGCTCTGCTTCATGAAGGAACTTGATACTCCTCTTTGTATTCTTGTAGAGGCTTGCCAACCTCCAGTAGCCCCCAACAACCTTCCATCTCCACCAGCTAAGCCAAGAACATGTTTCTGGAATATACTTCCCTTGAGAACATAGCAGCATGGAGCTTGAGCTAAACAGAAAAGACTGAAACAACTCATGGCACAGGGACCCTCTGGCTCTCAGTTCCTACTGCATGTTAGCATGTTTCACCACTGATACAGATTAATTTTGTCAGAGGTTTCCCTTACAAGACATCTCCTCCATTCTTGTGTACTGTGTTTTTGCAGCCTCTTTAGCAATAGTTGCCATTTCCAGAGAGGAATCTTACTCTAGGTGTCTAAAACTGTCTAAATCAAAGTGTCGGGGGAGGATAAGAGCTAGGACTTGTTATATTCTTCTCTTCAGGCACAGTGTGGCTCTGTTGTTGTATATTAAAAACAGCAGCTGTTGTTGGAGGTGAGGGTTCTGGAAATGAAAAGCATAATGTCCTAATTACCTATGGCAGGGAAAACATCTGTGCGGGAAAACTAATGAAATTAATTCCACAGCTTAGCAACTGAATACATTAATTGACATTAATTAATGCTAAATTACAAAGCTCTGCCAATGGAATCACATAAAATGTCCATGAGAATCAGACATCGAAACTAAATCCTTGAGTTAATGTGAGCACAACAAAGATTCCCTTAGGAAAAATGAGGGATCCAAACACTGCAAGACACCTTTCTTTCTGCTTCCCCGTAGCAGAGGGGGATATTCTTGGTGTGCACATCTCATGGTTTGGCTGTTTGGGAGATTAGTTTAAGCAATTTCAGAGCTCTGCCCTTTAGTAGTTATTACTGGCATTTTAGAATTGAAGCCATGGAGAATTGCACTGTAAAAGTTCACAGGAATTGCCTTAGTAAATCTTCATCAATGGTACAATTGCTGCTGCACGGACTCAGGTGATCCCAGCAGAAATAGACACAGTCCCAATTCTTCCATTAATACAGGATTGAAAAAGCCTCAGTCACCTCTAACAGATGTCAGCCTGTCCTGCTCTTTAAAATCTCTGGGAGAGGAGATTCTTTAATCTTCTTTGATGGCCTCTCCCAGCAGCACACATCTTGCTACCTCCGTGTGTTCGCAGGACAGGTAACTCATTGACATGGGATGCAAGATGACACTGCTTTTAATGTTTTGAGAGGGATAGCGTGCCTGTAGAAGAAAGCAATGGTGGTGGATTACGAAAAGTAGAGACAAGGTGGGAAACAGAAGTCTGATCTTAGAATGTAGGGTAGCTGTGAAAGACTGTCCTTTGTGATAAAATGGATTCAGATAACAGGAGAAGTGGGAATTGGTTGTGTTTCAGTCTGTTCTCAGATGCCCGTTCTGTCTTCTGACTGGTAGAGGCACCACACAGCACTGTAGGGTGGTGGGTAAGCTCCATCAGTCCCCTTCTTGCTCACAGTGGGGGGACAGAGGACCGAGCACTTCTGAAGAGGGAACTTTGCTGGTTTGCTGCAATGAGCAGACTGACACTTCTGAGTCTTCCTGCCCTCTCGTGGCTAATGTGGAAAAAAACATGTCCTTGCAAAGGGAAATGCACTTCGATAATACTGTCTGGGCTATGTTAATTAATGTTTTGCAGTGAGCTGCAAAAGCATAAAATGTTATAAACTGCAGTGACTAATAACACTCAGCACTTTATATATTCCAAGAACTCTGCAAATGGGGTAAAATCATTCCTCATCAAAGTTTCCTGAAGGTTCGTTACCCTGCATTTCTATTTCAGAATTGAAATTTCTAAGCAGAAGTCAACAGCCCTTAGAAACAAGGAAAAAAATGTCAAATGATAGATTTTAATTAAAAAACAAGATTAAATATGAGATAGTAAAAATCCACCCGTTTCTTTTACCACTGAAAGTGCTGCTTCTCTGATCAGAAGGCTGTAATTACATCAAACAAGGGGCTGTGCTGCTTCAACAAGGAAAAAGATTAGAAGTAGTTCCAAGATTAAATGCCATGCAGTGTTTCTATCATTTCAATGCTAATGCTAAAATGCCAAAATCCTTCTTCCTGTAAATCAGTTCTGTCCTTAAAGAAAGTGCAACTTCTTAATTGATCTGAAAGAGCCTAAATTGAATTCAGAGAATATGGTTCTGTATTCTGGGATAAATTACCACCATGAAGAAATTAAAATTCCTTTTCTTCAGGTGATGGATTATGAGATGAGCACTCTGCAGTGCACCAGAAGAGAAGATGAGGAAGTCCCAAATAGTAATCATGGATGAGATAGCTTTAGGGCTGCATTTAATCCATTTACTATGAAACAAACAACTGTTCAGACCTCCAATTTCAAGAGAGTGGAATGGAGTGGAATGATTGCCTTGGTCTGCCAGAGTGCATTTACCTATATTGTTAACCAAGAAATAGGTAAAATCTCTGAAGCAGGTGATGTTTTGCTCTACTCTGCAGAGTTTAAGGGCTGTAGGAAGTACAGAATTGTGCCAGGAAAAGGCTTCTCAATCAGTGGTGACAGTATGGGGCAGGTGTCCTCTGCAAATGTGCTTGTACTTGTGTATACTCTGGTCTTTGGCTGTTTTCTAAATAAACTTAGATGTGACTGGAGAAACTGGTGTGCCCTATGGTAAAAATGCCACACCATTATCATCTAGCTCTGATGTCTTATTTAGGGTGTGATGAAAGAAATAACGGGAAACTGATCCAGGTGGGGAAGGAAGGAACTTAAAGGAGAGCAATGAAAGATGGATTTATTAAGGGCATAGGGGAAAAGTGTTATGTTGTGTTGAATGGATGGTATCGCTTTACATCGTATGTGACTGGGAAGCAAAAAAATGCAAGCTTAAAATGTAGTTTTTCGACATTAGGAGGAAACTGTGCTTACAACTTCACGTGTCTTGGTTTTATCTTCTCATTTCAGATGCCCAGTACATCACCTGTAAGATGCAGAACTGCAGTGAAGCCTCACAAAACAAACCTTTTCCAGGCTACATTGACCATAACTCCCTGATCGTCCAGGATGACTATGTCTTCGTTCAGGTGTGGAGCAACCTCTTATTTATTCTGTTATTTTATATTTTGTTATTTTCTCTTACCTCCCTCTGCATATATGTGCGTATGTATTAACCCCCAACTAATCTGACAAGATTGGATCCATAGCAAGGGCACTGGGTGGATTGTAGCAGCTCATTACAATGCTAATAGAGTTTTTCTACCTCTAGTATCTTGTCAGTGTAAGGTCTTAGAGTTCCTGCCTGTAGCATCCACTGTGGGTACTGGAGTAATCCTCTATGCCTCTCCTGCAGTCTCGTCAGCACTCTGGGATTAGTGTTCTCACCTCCCAGCTTGAAGTGACATGTCAGTCATCTTCTATTGCAAGGGCAGTAGAGCAAACTTTTTTAAAGCACAAGAGAGAAACAGAAAAGAGAAGGAGGGAGTCAGGGGAAGAACCACAGAAGGAGTAATCAGGCTTTATTGTTATGCTTCAGTTGTGATTACACAAAAAAGGCTGAAGATGAGACATACTTAGCCAAGCTGTTTTTCAGGTGAGAGCTGGAGAACAGATCTGAATGTACTGCTGTACATTTCATTAGTCTGCTGCCAGGGTCCATTTAATAACAGTGGAAAAGGACAAAAATAATAACAGAATTGCAGAGAGTGTGGAGGTGAACTGGAAATCATTAGGACTAAACTGGTTTTCCAGACTGTTAATATTCTGTCATACTTGGGGGTGGAGGGAAGAGAAAGGATTGATATTTTAAATTGAATTAGTCGATTGCTAATTACCTTCAGTTAATGAACTCAGTCATAAACAGCCATCTAAATCATCCACAAATAGATCTGGAACATACGTTCCAGAATAGCTTTTGTGCCTTTATGTGTCTGAGGTGTAAATAAAATGTTTATGAGGTAAGGAAAACAGGGGCATGCATCACTGTTCAGACTTGATTTCTAATTTCCGAATGGCTGTATGTGTGTGTATGTGACATGACTGAAACAGGAGCTGGGAAGTTTCTCTTTCTATCTGAAATTATTCATTGCTTCGTCACTGACTCCTTGGTTTTTGCTCTTTTCATGTCTTCTCTGTACTGACCTGATTTTATTACATGCTAAACAGAAGTTAATTCTTTTGTCCCATTGAAACCATTTGAAATCATCTGAATTCTGACAGTCTTTGTACTTTCGTGCTTTCAACTTTCTGTCTATAAACTGTTGTGCAGTTTTCCTAGAGGTGTAAAATTTCTTTGTGTCAATTCAGTGCTGACTTCATGGTAGAGGAAGGAGAATGAGGACAGACAATCACTTACAACCTTCTCTCTAATGCTCTGTTGGACTTTGCCAAATGTTAACAGGTCAAAGAGATGATATTTGCCAGTCAGTAATGGTTGACACAAATACAAAATAAAAATATTTTAATTCTTGGAAACAATCTCTTCTTTGATCCTAACTGTTGGTGAATTCACAGTTAACTGGTAAGTGTAAAATAGCATTCAAGTGGTTATATACGGGATGTATCTATAAGGAATAAAGCACAGAACTGCTAAATGAAATGCTGCAACTGATGTTGGATTTTGACGTACTGCAGACACTATTCTCCAGAGGAGGAATAACCTCACACCAGACAGTGAAGAGGCTGGGAGAACAAAGGAATGCCTGAAAGCCCTCCCCAGCCTTCCCTACCTTGATCTCCATCTGGCTTTTTGGCAACCAAGCCATTTGCAATGAGAATAATTGTTTCTAAAGCATGAGAATAAGGAAAAGTGGGCTCATTTTTCTGTAGCACTTTTTTTAGAAGCACACACTTGCTCATAAACAGTGCTTCTAGCCTTCCTTCCCCTAACTTTTGATTAATTCCTTAAAAAAAAAAAAAAAAAAAAAAAAAAAGGTGAAGAGCTTTTAAATAAGTAGTTCTTATTTTTACTTAATCTGGTATGATCTTAGCCTCCGTGGGTCTTCCATTTTAAATTACTGCAGTGTGCTTTAAAACACTATGAAAAAAAACCAACTTGATAAGCCTAGGTAGCAGGCAATTAAAGCACAGTTCTGCGTGGAGAGTCCCTTGGAATATTTGTTCTTCAGTATCGTTCATCCATGGATTTCAAAGCACTTTACAAACATTGATTATGCTTCAGTAACTAACATCGTCAGCTGTTTTTTTAACCCCTCATTAAAAGGTAGTGGAAAATGAAACCACATGCTGCTTTAACCCAGTCTTGCTATTTAGGCACTTAAATGTGAAGACAGAAATGGAAATCAAGCATCATGTCTGCCAATCAGCTGCTCCAACCAATAATTCACGTAGCAGCTGTGCAAATAACACAGAACAGGTTGTTTTGTGTTGAGAGAAGAGCAGGAATCAGCAGAGAACATAATGGCCTAAGTGAAGCCAAGGCTTCACCTTCCCCAGACTTTCAGCTGAAATTCTAGCCCTTGCTTCTCTTTGCAGAAAATGGCATTTCTCTTACTCTCTCCTTTTCAGCCGCTCTCAGCGGTTATTCAGTACCCATAACATGACTGCAGCTTTTAACCACTGCTATGAACACTGTGATGTTTGCCTTAGGAGGTTTTGCTTGATGTTTTCACCATTAATTTAAAAAACATTTCAAATAATGCTGAAGGTAAATTTGCTGCTTTTCTTGTAGGTGACATCAGGTGGAAGACCGCATTATTATGTTTCTTATAGGAGGAATGCATTTACACCGATAAAGCTGCCAAAGTACTCCTTGCCCAAGGTAAGTTGTTGCTGGAATGCCCATATGTACCTACAGATTTTCTATTTGTTCAGAAATAATTGAAAACAATACAAGTAACAACAAGATGATATGCAGTGAGTGAAAGCATCATTGATTAAAAGAGAATTTGCAAGCAAGAAAGACTCAAGTTCACCGTGTTGCCTTGTCAAGAACATCAGCATGAAATACAGACAGATTACCACAGCCTATGTCAATTATAATTACTTTATGGTTAGTTGAATGAATTTTGGAGGAATTCCTTCCCCCCGCCCTTCCGTCTTTTCCCCTTCCTTTTCTCTTTCCTTTTCTAGGGGTCAGGGCAGGGATGTAAAATCCCGTGATGTGTGATTCTTTTTTTTTTTATTCTTTTTTTTTTTTTTTTTTCTGTTTTTCCTCATTAGCAGATTTTAATGGGAATTAAGAAAAGGGATGGCTTTGTGTGTCTGCTCCATATCCTCCCTAATTAAGAACAATGGTGAATTAGCACTGGAGCTTGAAAGGCTATTGCTGCCTTCTGAAGCTGGATTTCTTTAAAAAGACTATTATAAAATGTTGGCTCTATTTTGGAAAAATCACCTTTTTGCAGCTGGAGTCCTAACAGTTTCTTAACAGAGAAAAATATCTTTTTAAAAAACTCTTTTCATTCTTATTATAGGCTGGCTTAAATGAAATCTAAGTTCAAAGTTAGAAAATGACTTTGTGAACTATGTGTAACATCTAGCATCTGAAGAAAAATGATAATCCCCGGTTAATTTTTGGGAATGCAAAAAGAGAAAAAAGAAAGTGCTCAGCCAGCTTGTTCCTGGAAGTTGAAAGTACATCACTATTTGTAAATGCAAATATTCAAGGGGATCATTTGGCTATTGTCACAGCTGTCTGTCTTTGATTCCTCACTCCAACAGACCTGTTTAGAGTGCACTGAGTCATCATATAACCAGATAGCAGCTCAAACACATTGTTTTCAGTGCCATACCTTGTATACTCTGCTGTTCTGCTTTGCTTGAATGGCCTCAAAACCCAAGATCTTAGGATTCTGGGGACACTATCGGAAGTCATGATCTCTTTTTGGCTGTGACACAGGAGAACTGACTATGAAATGTGAGTTCAGTAAATTGTTTCAGCCAAAGAAAAACACATTTTCCTTTTTTTTTTTTTTTTTTTTTTTAGAAGATACATAGATTTGTAGATTGAAACCCAGTATACTTCTTTCTATAGTCCCAGACAAACTTTGGATTTTTTGTGAGACCTGAAATCCTAGCTGCCACAAAATTTTCAGGCATGTTTGAAGATAACTTACTCTAAGATAAGATTACTCTAAGGCAGTTTGAAACTTTGTGTGCAAGTGGAAAAGAATTACTCTGTCAGTTTAGATAGAGTTTAAGCAGGTGTAATATCAAGTAGTCCTTAGCAAATGAATTGGATTTTTAGGATGGATACTGTAATACCTAAATTAAAATAATTTACAGTTGATTCAGACTGTCTGTAGCAAGACTGCTTGCTTTGAGCAAGTACACTTATTTCTCCAATTGTCCAACTCAATGAAAAGTCTGGAGAACCAAGAAAAAATACTGTGATTACATTCCCATGTGTTCTCAGAGAGTAGGAATAGGAGCAATATGTTCATGCTATTTGACCCAAGGAAAAAAGCAGATATTTAAGGAGATAAGACACTTTGTCAGAAACTGGGAATGTCTTCAAAGACTGAAAAACCCTTTTTGGCTTGGAGGGAGCTACAGTGGATCTGTGGTTGTCTGGTAGTTTGGTATCAAAGCAAGATAGCTGCTTTTATTAAAAATGCACAAAGCACTATATTATTCAAAGGCATTGAAACAAACAGCTTCTTTTATGCCTAAATTCTCTTTTATCTCCTTCAGCTAAGAAAGTGGGGCCAAGTATGGTAAACAGTACTAAGTCGCTACTGGAATTGAAGATAGAAATGTCAAACTTTTTGCCTCTGTATGTTACTCCTAATCTGGAGGGATGTGATGGCAGGCAGTTTTGGCAGGTGATACCATTATTCAGGCAGGAATGGCCTATAACAAATTAAATCTATAATTTTCTTGCTGTTGTAATTTATATTCTGGTAACCAATTCTATTAGAAGCCTGAATGAACCTGAAACTGTTTCCAGTACAGGCATATGTCTAACTTGTACATGAGGTTGTGTAAACCCTGTGAATGGTATTTACTGAAATCTGTTAATTTCTGCAGTGAGGTTGGTGTCTGTCATAGACTCTGTATTGTCACTCATGATAGTCACCTTGAATGTGTAGAAACAGTGCTCAAATTCACTCAATTTTAGGCCAATCTACTGGGCAGGCATCTCTGAATACAGAATTGAGCCAAGCAATTTCTCTTTAAAAAAGGCTTGTCCCTTAATCTGGTGCTGGGCTAAATACTGATGGGGTAGGTGTTTGTGGTACCAAACCACAAACCACAAGAAAGTCATGAAATACAAACCTTAACAACAACTGACAAATGAAATAATTGATGGGATAAAACAGGCAATACACATTCCTGCTAATTAAATTGCCAGGAAGAAAAGTTCCCTGACCAAGTGCAAAAAAGGACAACTGGAGCATGTTTTGGTGATTCAAAGAGCCCTGGCCTTTAGTCATTTGAATAACTGATCAAATGCATGCACAAAATCATGCTCTTGCTTTGTCTTTGGAAAGTCAAAAAGGACAGATAATAAAACTGTATCAGTATGCTGATTTCTTTTTTATTTTTACCAATGTGAAAACTAACAAATCCCTGACGTTGTTCAAAGACGTGTTGGATTCCTATGTACTGAATCCCTTCAATCAAGCCATTACATTATACCAGAGTCTGTTGGACAAGGCCGTGTTAAGTAGTTGACTGATCCACAAAAGCAATCAGTTGGAACACTTGTTTCCTTTGTACATGCACTACATATATTATACCATTTCTTTCTCAGTCTTTGTTTGTCTAGGCTTAAATTCCTTGAGCCCATGATCTTAGACTCTGATATTATAGCATGTTCTGATCAAAACTCAGGAAGAATGTACTGAATGGATTAACTCATTTGCTTCTTAAACATATGTGAAATTGCCTTTGATTTTCCCTGATGTTCATTAGAATATCTTTTCACCTTTAAGTAGAGAGATCTGTCCTTGTGTATGAACACGTATTTGAAAATTTGAGCTTGGAACCGCAGCTGTGCCATCTGAAACTGCCTGAAGCACATTGTGATCATCTACTCATGTAGCTCTACCGGAAGATCAACTAGAATGATAATGTGAAATGGGGAACCTCTGACAAACAGCTGTGGCAGTTACTTCTACCATTACAGCTGGAGCTCAGAGAGAATATGTGTTCACAACCACAATCAATCAAAGCCAATGGAACTTATTTTGCATTTCTGGTTGCCTCAGATTTTAACCCAATCTGTTCCTCTACAAACCTAGCTCATCTTCTGGGATACATTTTTCTCCAGTACAAAGAAGCAGGTAAACCAGGTGAACATTCATCTGCACAGATCTGGATCTGAGTCAACCTTTCTGAATCTTAACTTTATAGTGAATCCACTTTGAAATTTATAAGTCAGATTTTTTCCCTCTATTATTTTTTCGTTTTTATACCATAAGGCTCAATATGCAATTATTTTTCCCCCCCTACAAATCAGCAAGAAAATTGTCAAAGACTATTATATTAACAGAGGAAGAAGTAGCATCCACTTCCAAAGAATGTATTTTCTGATGGAGTCCCAGTTTTGCATATACGTCAAAAGTACTGGCTGAGATCCATGGATGCAAAATAACTTAGGGATAACTGCCCAAAGCATAGAGCTGAATCTTCAGGGAATTACCTACTGCTAAGAAATCTGCATTTCTTGTCCTATCTCTGTGGATTTGTAAGGCATGAGGAACTCAGCCCTCCTGTACCGGGCAGATAGAGCCTTGGAATTTCATTATAACTTTCTCTCAGTGGCTTTTTTCACTGGATAGTTTCTCCAGGCATTTAAAGAGGTTCAGGTTTAAGAGATTATTAGTTTGTTGTTTTTTTTTTTTTTATTATGCACTCATTTCATTACTTCCTGCCTACTGTAACACAGAGCAAATAAAGAAAAATAAAGCATCACTCATAACATGTGTGATCTAACTACAGTTTTGCTCCTTACATATAGTGAGAATTAGGGTTGTCTCTCTGTCGTATTGCTGGAGTTTATCACAGTGGTCTAGGGCCTTGACTCATAGATGGCACAGTCATCAGTAATAATAAACAACAGCAACACTGGCTGCCAATTAGATCCCCCCTCAGTTCTCAAGCATACTTGGTTTCTGAGAGATAGAAGGCAAGAGGCAGATGTTCCTGATGTTTTTTTTTCTTCATTTTTTAATTTTTTTAAAAAACATATTTTAAAGTGTTATTAGCAACTGTGATTCTACAATCACAAGTAGTATTGCTTAAACACTAAATAAATAATTAAATAAATAAAGCAAACCAAAAAATCACCTCAAACCAAGTACTAATTAAAATTTTGGTAGAGGAAGCAAAGTGCTGCTGTATAACGCTCTGTTGCCAAAGTGAATGTTCAATTAACACCTCATCAGTTAATTACTGCTTTGAAAACTGGCAGTAGAGTGCTGCTGTAAAATATTCCTGGATGGAATTCTCTGCTTACAGAAATGTTGTCTACAGTTTTCAATTAAACTCCAGTCTAAAATATATCCTTTGCTTCTCCACAGTTTCCGTGATGCCCTTGGAAATGACAGAGCAGAGCTCCCTCTTGTAACATGCATTTGCTTTCTTTCCTCAGGACATGCATGTTATCAGCACAGATGAGAGTCAGGTGTTTGCAGCTGTTCAAGAGTGGAACCAGAACGACACATACAATCTGTATATCTCTGACACCCGAGGGGTGTATTTCACCCTGGCATTGGAAAACGTCAAGAGTAGTCAAGGGTTGGATGGGAATGTGATGATTGACCTCTATGAGGTATGTCATGACTCTAAATTTTTCATTCTTACCTACAAACTCATGTGACATCCAGTTCCATTGTGTTCTTACACATCAGTCTCATAGAATGTATGAAAATAGCAGAGCCAAAGCTGAACACATTTTTATCCTTCTTTTAAACGAGGACCTCAGTGCAAGCACAGCAGGTTCAAGCCAGGCTGTGCAAGTGTTGAAACTAATTCCAGCCTAGTAGTATGAAGAAATTCATTACTGTGCTCTCCAGTAGGTTCTCAGGTGAGGAAAATCTCGTGTCTATGTAGAAGGATATGCATTGGAAGAAGTAGCTGAATAGTTCACTACATTCCAACAAGAAGCTTTCTCAGCCAAAATCCTGCTGACACAAACAAATCAAGCCTCTGACCCACATTGTTCCAGTCTTTGGTTCATAAGGCTCCCAGCTCTGTGAACAGCATCATTCTGCAATTCTGCCATTTTCATTGCATTTCTGAAAGCCTAAGCTCTTGTGGTAGAAGGAATTAGAGACTGTAGTTTTCAGCTGTCTTTGTTGCCTTCTGCTGCTTGATCTATTCTGACAACAGAATTTTAAGTAATCACTCCTGAGCTATCCCGTGAGCATGGATACTCTCCTTCTTCATGTTGATGTTTTCTTTATCCTGATCCTAACAAGTACGTTCTGTCTAAGCTTACCTGTAAGAAGGCTAATTTACATTGTCTTCTGTGACAACTGATCCTGAGAATAGAACTTGTAACACACCCTTGTACTTCTCTTGGCCTGACAGCAGTCTTATTTCTGGATACAGCTGAGTAGAAATTCAATGCTCAGTTGCTAATTTTGGGGTCTAATTTTGCTACTCTTTCCAGATCTATTCCAGAGGTCTTTATGACCATTTAGAACAAAGGCTATGAACTAGTTCTTTAAAAACGGAAATGCTCCCTGTATTTCCCATCACTGAATACTAGCTCTACTGAATAGTTTGCCTTCAGCTGTCCTTTACTTGGAAACCACCTTGAATTGTCAAGACAGAGCCCAAGCACTGTACATAAATTCGGGTGAATTGCAGGAGGATGGGCATTGTCATTTCCCAGTCATTTGGAGTTTTTACTGTTAATGTCTCTGCAATGCTGGCAGTGCATGGAAAGGCTGTTACCTCTTATTACTGTCAGCTCCAGAAGTGGTTTCACTTCATTATGTAAAAGTGTCCTACATCCCAGTGGAGGGAGAAAAGCCTTTGTTTTGTTTTATTAGACTGACACTACATAGTAACCAGGATTGAAAGTGATGAAATCAGACTTGTAGCATCATATCTGTTGATTATTTAGATAGAAAGAATATTGACTGACACCGAACCTGGCACAAAACTTCAATTTGCTGTTCTAGCTGGAAGGGAACAGAAAGCCATCCAGCATGATTCTCCCAGCAGAGTTGTTGCAAATGATGAGTGCTTCAGGGGTACATGGAGATGAAGATCAGAAAAGAAAAAAAAAAAAAATCCACAGATAAATTAAAAGGAAGAGAAGAAATTGCAAAATGAGTCCTCCTTTTGTGACAGCAGTTTATATGGAAAAGAAGGATTACTTGAGAAGATGCCAGAAAAACTCCTGTTTAATGTGTATGTGTCTGTATGCTTATGTTTACCAGGTATTAAAAAATAATTTTACCGGTTACGTTGTGGAGAAGGTGTTTCTGTATGCACATTCCTAATGCAGTTCTACATCCGCAATAAATCTTTTCAGTGGGAAATTACATTGGACTTGATGAGAAAATAGAAGTTCTTCCCTTGTGCCTCATCGTGTTCTCCTTTCTTTTCTCCTGGAGGAATGCTCCCTGGAGCCTTTCACTGGGAGACAGTTATTTCAGGGTGTTGGCTGTTCTTCTGCTGGACAGTGTAGGGGATGAGGAGGCCACTACCACTGGGACACTAATTCGCTTTCTACATGTTGGTCTGTGGAGGCTATGAGAATAGCTCTTCTCCTTATCACCTTCTAGTGCTGGTGCATCAATAGGACACTGGACTGTGGTTCCAGGGGTATTGCCCTAGAGATCATACCCTAGAAGCAGGAAAGAGTGGGAGTTGCTGACCAGTGGGTTCTCTTTTTTCTAATCAATGCACTTCTCCAAATGATGCGGTATTGCTGTGCTTGGCTCTTCAGCAGGAATGTTCTGCATCAAGACAATCCTGCCTGTAAGCATCACCGAAAGCATAGGCAGCATTTATATCTACATGCAGTGCTTGTGAGGGTGGGGGGGATTGCCTACAAAGCCTGGGAATACAGACCCAGTGCTTATTTTTCTGAGCACTGCTGTTCAAGCCCTTACTTGCATAGCTCTGTCTCCATTGTGACTGCATGGAAAGATCATCATGTGTGTCATGGATGCGTATACGCAACAGGTGCATTTCTTCCTACAGAGAGCACACAAACATTTACACTGTGTGCAGTTGTTGTTTCTTAAAGATAGAGCTGTCCCAGGTTGACAGCATAACTTACACTTTGCTTTCTCTAGAAAGCATTTTGAGTTTCAGCCTAGGAGTAGAATCATAACAAGAAAAATTCATAGGATTTCAGAACACATTTATCAACTCATATATAAAATGCTTTTTAATCATTTATAGCCAGCATTTCACAGGGACTACATAATACAACTATTTCAGGACAACAACAAAGAAAAGTACAAACAGAGCTATAGGCACTGACCTGTGGTGAGAAAGCCAGAACGATGTTATTTTTCCAACTCTGACTATTCATACAATTTCACTGATAGAGGAGAAAGCCCTGTCTCATTGGGCTGCCTTTCTACCACAGAACAAAGAAAACTTGAATAGTTTGTGCATCAAAACAACCCAGATCAGACATTGAAAATATGATCTTTTTTACATTTAAATCAACAATAACTAACTAAATTACTTAATTTAAAGGCTATTGCCCATTATAGCAAATCATATCTAAGTTTTTATCAACATAAAATTCAGTGTCATTACTCAGGGATGAAAGTACTATTCAGATTGAATAAGTACACCACTGTACTGTACCAGTGGACTATACAGTAGTAGTCCCATGGCATGTGACTAGAAGTGCAGTAAGGTCCTATTGGCTGGGAATAGTAGCATCCAAATATACCCATGTAATTAAATCAGTTGAGCTGGAACAAATTTTGAATTTGCTGAGTAACCATTTGCCACATGATGCTATTTATGTAATAATCTCTGTCAGCAAAAAGGCTTGATTGATGATTCCGTGCACCACTTCTGCAGAAGAAGAAAATATGGAGTGTATGATTGAACAGATCTGATGAAAAACAAGAAGTTTCTGAGTTTCCCCTCACCTTCTCCCGATTTCCCTTTGCTTCTAATTGTAGCACTCAGATTGCAGAATGACAGCCTAACAAATTCATTTGCAAGCAGCAATAGCTACTGGGCTATTGATTTTCAGTGTGCTAAGAAGTTGGGAACATTCTGCAATGTGAGTTGTGGTTTGAGGTTGACTTTTTTTCTTCCTACTAAGTCACTCTTGGTTCAATTCCAATTTGAGCTCATCAGCATAGCATCTTTCCAAAATTTTCCTGCAGACCAATGGAGTAAAGCTGTTGAATAAAATGCTGGGAAGAATAAAAAGATGAGGATCTCGTTCTATAACTAGCATAGGGAGGCCTTTTTGAGTCACTGGTGCTTCAGTTTCTTCTGAAAACAAAGCTGGTCCTATCCAGCTATCTGTTAATTTCTTTACAGAGGGAGTGGTGAGGTGCTGGAACAGGCTGCCCAGAGAGGTTGTGGATGTCCCGTCCCTGGAGGTGTTCAAAGCCAGATTGGATGGGGCCCTGGGCAACCTGGTCTAGGATTAAATGGAAAGGTTGTTGTCCCTGCGTGTGGCAGGGGGATTTGGAGATTCACTATCTTTGAGGTCCCTTCCAACCCTGGCCATTCTGTGATACCCCAACTTACCCTATGGAAACACTGATAATTGTAGAGTGCACAGAGATCCTTAGATAAAATGTCTTAAGCAGACTGTGTGAGAACAGAAGCACTAAACAACGAATGTGTGTGCATGTTGTCATTTTCTCTGCAAGGTCAAAATTGCTGCTGTTTCCTGCTACTGCATGCAAGAGAGAAATAATTGCCCTGTGTATATTTAAACTTCCAGGGGAAAGGATATCTATCCAGTTGAACAGCTGTCACTTAACAGTTAACTCTGTTGATGTCTTACCATATTCTTATGCTGCTTTTGGCTTTTTCTTCCACTTGCACTTCTTCACATATGATGCTCCTTGGCATTTCTTGCCACAACATCTACTGCATTCATACAATCACAAGATGTTTGTTGGGTTTAACAGGGCAGGAAAGTCGCATACAGAGAAACTGTATGGATTTGATCTATTTTTCAGCCATGTCAATTTTTCCTAGGTAGCAGGGATAAAGGGAATGTTCTTGGCTAACAAGAAGATTGACAACCAAGTGAAAACTTTCATCACCTACAATAAAGGGAGAGACTGGAATTTGTTGCAGGCTCCAGACACTGATCTGAAAGGAAACCCTGTTCACTGTCTCCTGGTAAGTATCTGGGGGGATTTGAGGTGTACTAAGAACCCAGAACAGTCTTTTTCTGCCAGGTAACATAAGGGGAGGACCTCTCTCCCCGTGCAGTGTAACTCATGGAAGGAGCACTGAGTTTTAAAACTGTGGTACATCAGGCTTGGTCGGCCAGATGGTGTAGTTGGCACTGTAATTTAATTTAGGTTAATCTAATTTCTGGAACAAAATGAAGCATCATAGATCTGCTTCCTTCTGTGCAACTGATTGTCTCCTGCTAAACAGCATGAGAAGCTGGATGCTGTTTTTGAGCAGTTGGTTCTCTGAACACTAGATGGGAGGAGTGAGCTATTGTACTGCAGAACTTCCAAGAGTCTTGACAACTTGAGACAGGCTCAAGTAGAAAGAGAACTGGTTTTTTTTTCACGCCATTTTATTGGCCCTCTATTGGTATTTTAATTTTGAGATCAAAAGTTAGAATTGACATATTCACGCAAATATACGAATGGCTGTGCGTTTAGTATGTCTGTCTGTATTAATTGATATAGGTCAACATATAGATAAATCTTTAATAGTCATTATATGCAGAGGATTTCTAAAATAGAAAGTGAAACACTGAGTGGATAGAATTGGAGCTCTCTGTCAAATCAGATAGCTTAGCCTGATCTCCACATACTTCTCAGCTTATTCTGTAGTGGGATAATACTCTGAACTGCAGTCTTGGAGATTTTCAAGAATTTTTATAGTAAAAAAAAAAAAAAAAATCTAACATAGTTGCATGGTCATTACTTAGATTGCTCTTCCTCCTTGTTGTGCTCTTCCTGCATGCTATATATCACATAAAGTGATGTTTTTCACGTTGAGGCTGTAAGTTTTACCAGCTTTTACCAGTTTTTTCCGCTTTACCTTTTATTTATTCTGGTATGTAGCTGAATACTGTGCCAATCTCTGAACTGAAACCTGTATGTTATTGCTGTAACTAACCTGATATTTGAAGCTGTTTAAATAATTGATCTTTTCGATAGAGCAAAAATTCAAGCCTTTAATTTTCTCTCTGATTTGGAACAAAATAAATAGGGGTGAACTGGTGGCCAAGAAACAAAGTTATCTCAGAATGTGACTAAACTTGTTTGGGTTTGTTTTCTTCTTCCAACTTTTAAAAAAATGTGTCTAGGGGCATTTTTAAATTAAACCTTTCAGTGAGATGAAAACTTAAAAGATGGCATTTACTGAACTACGTAGGCATAAAACAATTTAATTTTTGCAAGGGAGTATGTGTAGAAACCTTTGTCTTTTAAATAGATTGTAACTTAGTTTTAACTCAAGTGAACATATTTTGTGAAATAAATGTGACTTTTTCAGATTATTGACAGTTTTGTCAGAATCCCAAGATTTTCATGTTGGTAGTGTAATATTTAGGAGACTAGAGAGACACAAGAGGAATAAGAAAAACATGCAGGCAGTGGAATAATCAAAGTAAACTCTATTCTTTTTCCATGAAGAGGCAAATCCTCAATGGACTTAAACTGTGTAGCTGAGGGTTTGTTATTCCCAAAGAAGTCTCATCCCTGTGATAAGGCCCAGTGTTTACCCATGTGTTTGGTTTTTTTTCTCTCCCTTTGATTTCAGTTAGAAATAGACAAGAGACCTCTTTCATTATCTTGCCAGTGTCTCCTTTGTGCTTAGGTGGGTTCCCACAGACTAGTGGAATGGTAGCAGAGTAGAATTATCAACTGGGAATAAAGGATCTCAGGTGGTTGTCTTCTAAATTTGCAAGAAAGGAGATAGATGAATCTATAGATGATAGATGATCTAGAAGTTGTAAATGCCTGGAAATAAGTCTGGTATCCATACAGGGGTTTTGCTCTGGAAAACCATTGAGAAAATATATTGTCTCCTGCTGAGGCAATTCTGTTCCTCATCTATATGACATAGTTATAGTACTTAAACAATTCACAAGCTCGTCTCACTTCTGAAGCCCCACTCTCTCTACATCTGCATCATCTGCAGTTTCATTCCCTTGTATCAGTTGCTCCTTTTCCCTCCAGACATTTCTGTTCCTTGCCATGATCTTTCTTGATCCTATGGTATAGACAAGTGAATTCCTAATAGTGTCTTGTGAGTCTGGCTTAGCTTCCATCATTACTTCAGGATAGATAGTAATGCTTTCACACTGACGGCTTTCAGAATAATTGTTCCTAGCTACAGCTTGGAACACAGTGTTCAGAGATGTACATCTCAGCTACTGGCAGAATGGGATCTGCCCTTTCCCAGAGTTACTGGATGGTCTCAGCCTGAGAGCAGAATGTTATCCTGTGTACATCTGTTCTTAAAACCTCAGCCTAAATTAAGGGAGTGTTAATGCAGAAATAAGTATGTAGAAGCTAAGTTGGCAGCTAAAGAGGTTAAGAGGGAATCTGGTTGAAACACAACACAAACCAGACAGAGCTATTCCTCTACTGACAGTAAGCGCAAGGGCTCTTTTCAAAGCATGTCAAAGAATTTATTTGTGTTTCTTTATGAGGTTGGTCTGAATAATGAGGATGGAGGAATGCAATGAAATTCCCCCTGAGCCTGAGGTTTTATTTTTCTTGTTTGTACCACTTACTTTCTAGGCTGAATACATTTAATCTTCATAAAATAACTGCCAAGTTATTACATCCCAAAGATGCTGATTTTGTTTGATTCTTATGCTGTGAAGTAGTTAACTGAGGAGTAATTCTACCTTGCACGTTATGGGCAACTGTCTAGGAGAGTTACTCAATTAGCTTTTGAGTATGGCCTTGTGGTTAAAACACTGGGCTGAATTTTAGGAGAATCTTGATTCAATTTTTAGGCCTATCTCCAATTTTCTATCTGACCTTGAGCAAGTCATTTATTTTCTATGTGCTTTTCTTCCTCAGACATCTGTTTATTCCCTCTTTAGTTTTGGTTGTCTTGTCTGTACGGATCATAAGGATTTCAGAACAAAGACCCATTTTTCATAAGTGAGAAGGCATTCACACCATCTGCCACAGAGTCATTTAAACATCTAAGTGAGGTGTTCTGAGTATCCCTTATGGAAGTGCTTTCTCTTTTAATTGCTCCTTGTAACTGCAGGTGTGCAAATACTGTGACTACCTCTAGGTTTCTAGATATTGTCTAGCATTATCCTTGTGTTGCAGTAGTCGGCCCCACTCCTGACCAGGGGCTATCAGTACAGACATACAAGGAGTGCTAGCTTCTCTATGGAACATGATTGGTATGGGGAATTCTTTTGGGCCTCCTTGCAAGATAGAATGGATTTTATACATATAAAGTGTTTGTCTGGAAAGGAAAAGTTGTTTTTAACAGTGCAGCTAGTTGTCACTTGAGTCTCTACCCAGTGCTGCACTTTGACCTGTAAAAAGTCATGCTACTAGAAGCACTCTCTCTCCTCTTGGATGTTCTAGCTTTTAGTCTTGGGAGTTGGAAATAGATGATGGGGACTTGGATAATCATTGAGATATTTTCCAATCTAAGCCATTCTGTGATTTTTATGTTCTAATTAATATTTGATGTATATATTCCACTTCTGTCTACTGTATGTGTGAAGTGCTACAAATTTGAGATAAAATTTCTGGTAATACAAAAATCTGAGTCTAACAAGATCAAATTTCTGTCAGACTGGGGGAATTGGCTGAATTGCTGCTATTAGCTATTGTCTTGAAAATGCTGAGGTGGACTTGCAGCACATTAGTTTTAAAAATATGTTCTGTATCTAGACTAATAAAAGGGAAGAATTCATTCCCTCCTAATGCTTTCCCACTTCTGAATGTGCGTCAGCTTGATTTGGTTCCCATTCCCTCTCCATGCCCCAGGCTGCTCCAGCAGCTGTCATTGCAAGGCTGTCACTTGGAGTTAACTTCTCAGTGCATTCCACTTGGCAGGCTGTGCTCCCTTCTGCACCACCCTGCGTTCCTTTTTCCTGTCTCTCATACACAACAGAGATCCGTCAATCCTTACCATCCTCATTCACCTTTGAAACCAAAAACAAAAACAAAAAAACCCGCACATCCCCAAACTGCTTTTTGTGGTTATCCTTACCCACAGCATGGTACTCATTTATTTCTACCTGGAGATGGGATATATCAGTGGTTGTCTTCTAGCGACTGCAGAGGAAGCCTACAAAATTTATGAGGCTGGACACCTAGCATTTAGGTAAACGATGTAAAAGAGAGACCTGCCTCCCTGAAGCCTACAGGGCTTTCTGCATAGCATCCTGCTTGTCTGGAAGCCATGCTAGCTGAAGCATATGTTTTGCTGTGTTTGCATTCCCTTACTGTCTGATGTCCCCCTCAATTTGGTGAGCTTGCTTCAGCTTTCCTTGCCAGTATTTTTCCCTTTCCTTTCCGTTAGCCTGTTTCCTGAGGTTTGGAAACAAAAAGGCTGAAAAAAGAAAAAAAAAACTAAGGAAAAGCAAAAATTTCAGATTTTTTCAAAAATTATTTCACTGTAGATTTGGAGAGGTCATAATGGCAACTTTGGGAATCTGCCTGTTTGTCCATCTTATCTCCTTGCTCAGCTGATTTATTCTGTACCATTCCTGTTTGATTTGAGTACCTGAGATACAAAATCAATAACAAATAGGTAAGGCTTGTACAGATGTACTTGTATTGAAATCTCAAAGGTCATATAAAGATGGGGTGATGAAATATTTTATGAAATAACTGTTAAACTGACAATTTCAAGTTCTGATATTTCTTTCTAGTGCAGTGCAGAACAGAGACGTGTCAGAAGTATTCAGGGTCAAGACATGGTCTGACACTCCCTGAATTAAGTTGTTTCTTAAGGCTTACAAGTGGTGACTCAGCACCACGCTGACAGGGCAATATTGCAGAGATAGCTTGAGCACTGCTGCCTGGTGAGTCGCTTCAGCATATCTGTAACCTTGCTTGCTTCTCATGACAGCCAACAGTTGGAGGAGCGAGGTACTGCTTACCATTACCTGCCCTTGCAGTTTTCATTGCATCCTTTGTGAGTACAGCCTCAAAGATCTCATCTTTGTGAGAGTTTCAGTCTAAAGAATCAGTTTCCCAGTGGTAAAGGTTTGCATTGGGAAAGGACAGCAAAAATCTCACAAGACAAGCAGAGCAGTTTCCTTGTCTTTCAGAGGGTAGCTTGATACAGTAGTTAGAAATAGTATTTGGCTATCTTAATAGTAACTGTTGATATCTTATGCCTATGCAATATCCTATGCACAAAGGCCTGTAGAAATGGGAACATATGCTTTGTGTTGTGTCTGCTTTTTCACTTTAATCTCTCCTTTCTCCATAGCCCTATTGCTCCCTTCATCTTCACCTGAAGGTCTCAGAGAATCCCTATACCTCAGGAAACATTGCCAGCAGAGACACTGCCCCCAGCATTATTGTTGCTTCAGGTATGAAACATTTAAAGAGTGCCTGTATTTGATGTGCAAACACTGGGGAAATCCTGAATGTGTGATGGATATGGAATATGGGTATGGAGTGGCCTGTGGGGTGTCACACTACCAGTAGGGCAGGCTGTCAGACAGAAGTCTTCATGGACCTTCAGTGTATCATCTGATTTTTACAGAAGCTTACTTTCAGGACTGAGGAGATGACATCTAACCTTATACTACCAAGAACATTAGATTCAAAACAGGGAATTTCTTTTATGCACAGGGTGCATAGATCTGTAAACAGTGTTAGTTTTTGTTTTTTTTTTTTTTTTTTGACATGTGTTTTCTTCACACTGAAATTCTCTCTGTTTCTTTTATTTTTCCTTCCAAGACTAAAAATTACATAATTACAAAAGACTAATGAATATGTTTAATTCTCTGATTTGCTAATTCTACTGTTTCTTAAATTTTTCTTCACTAATTAATGTTCTACTTACAGGTAATATAGGCCCTGAACTATCAGACAATGATATCAGTATGTTTGTTTCTTCTGATGCTGGAAACACATGGAGACAGGTACGTGACAGAATCACAGGATTTAAGAGTAATTGTAGGGAACTGTCAAAGAGATATATTAAAAATGTTTCATTTTTTTTCTTTTGATTCAAAATAGCTTTTTGCAAATCTACACAAAAAGGAATGTTTCTTTTCCCTTCTGAGAGGTACAGAAGTGCCCAAAGAAAAATATTGTGTATGTCATTATGCATCATATAACAGAAAATTATTTTTATAATTCTATTCAGTTTGGCTTCAGTTTAACCCTCTAGCACAAAGGGTTCTTTCTTTTCATCCATTATTATACTTTCCCAAGAATTAACAGTTACAGTGTTCTACTTCTCCCTCGCTGTGCATGGGACTGGATAGTAAAGTTAAATGATAATAATACTTAGTGGAATCCCACCTGATAACAAAACATTGCTACCCTGCTGCGTGTTTATCTGCAAAAAAAAGTAAGTTATATTATTCCCATTTCATAGATGGTGTATTGTGTTACAGAAACCAGGAGTCACTTTTCCAGACTCACCATGCTGCTGCGAAAATTTGAGAGCATGAGAGCAGATGTTTGCATAAAGCCAATGGAAAAAAAAAAAAAAAAAAAAAAAAGGAAAAAAAAATATAGCTGTTTACATATTTGATATTCCAGGAAATTAATTTTTTTTCTTTACAGTGAACACTCTTCATTTCCTTTCTCCCTCACTTTCATTTACTATGGCTAGATACGTGCAAGCACAATATGTTCTTCTTTGAACAATGATCTGTTATCGAAAGGAGGAAAATTGTTGGTCCTTGCAAAAATTAGTGTTTCTAACTTTCTGCTAAGCAGAGATACTTCTCAAGAACCTGATGGGGGGGTAGGTGGGAGCAGAAGGGCAGATATATAAAAAAGCAGAAACTCTCTATACACGTTGCCTAACTCTATTCAGTAACATCTGTAGTGAGTACTTGCCCTCTTTCATGATCATACTTAAAAAATGATGACATTTTCTTTATACTAAAGAAAATAGATCTAAATATATGCCTTTTTTTTCAGATCTTTGAGGAAGAGTACAGTGTTCTGTACCTGGATCAAGGAGGAGTACTGGTTGCCATAAAACACACATCTCTGCCTATCAGACATCTCTGGTAATGACTCTGATTGTCCTAAATGTGATAGTCTGATACTCTTCCTTTGAAATGTCAGGAAGTAAGAAATCAAGCTGAAGCCACTGTTTTCTAGAAAAATCACTTCAGAAACTGACAAATGTAAACTCAGATAAAGCTAAGAAATCCTGGCAACTGCAGCTTAGATGGCTTCAACTTGGCCAGATCTTAGATACCATCAACACCACCAACATAATTCCTCATTGACTAAGACCTGGCTTCTTGAGTTTGGTTATTTACATAATATACAGTTTGGATTATAGCCTTTGCCTCTTACTGAGTTGCCCAAGTACTCATAGTTTTCAAAATTATTGATGAAATTGTCTTCTGCGTTGCAGACAGCACTTCTGAGCAAGAATTTTGTTGAAAAGCATCATGGTTTTGTAGCCAGTAAGACAAAATTTTCTCTTCTAGTTAGCATCCCTGAATTTATGTGGTAGGTAGAATATAGTTTTATGCTGTTTTGCATTGATTTACTGCCACTGCAGCAAGAGTCATATGGGTATCTAAACCACCCAGACCCAAGTAATGAGAAATAGTTCCAAACTTTTGCTTAGACCTACCACAGGGAAAAACTGCTGGTTAGAAGAGGCAAAGCTCTTGTGATCTGAAAATCACACCTCCTTAAAATGTCTTTGGTTGGGGACCGAATATTAAGTTTCTCAAAATTATTTGTGTATTTTAAATAAAATCATAGTGCTGGGCTACATTTTGTTCTTTAAGCATCAATCTCTTAGGTATCTTTATTAGTTTCTCCCACTTAAGTACTGGCCTTGGCTGAGCAGTATAGTGCCAGAAAGCTTATCAGTGCTCTGATTTATAATGCTGCCACCAAAATTAGATATTCCAAGGGCTAAAAATGCAATATTCAAGAACAGAATCTACCTTCTACTTCTCCATAGCAGCTGTAGTATCCTCCCAGTTACAGTGAGAGAATAAGGAAAGAAGATATTAATTCTGCTTTCTCTATCAGGTTAAGTTTTGATGAAGGGAAATCCTGGAGCAAGTACAGTTTCACATCACTCCCACTGTTTGTAGATGGAATTTTAGGGGAACCTGGAGAGGAAACTCTTATCATGACGTAAGTGAGCATGCCATCATGCTAACATTAGCAGGAGCAACAACATGATAACCTTATGAGGATTGTTCACAGCAGAGTTTCTGGTTGGTGAACAAACCGAGTTCTCACTGAAACCAGGACCATGCAGTCTTCTGTTGCTAAATCATCAATGCTTATTTGTGATATTATTGAAAGAATGACAGTAAGGTTCCTTGCAAGCTGCAAGCACATCATTTAGTTTACTAGCCTGAAACTCAACTCCTCAAATGGAATATGATTTAAAGAAGAGTTACTCTTGACAGATGCATATTTAAAAGAAAAATGATGAAGTATTTTATAGCTGTGGTTTTGCTACTACTTTGTATTTTTTAGCAGAGGAACAGAAAAATGAAGACGTTTTTTGTAAGAGTGAATGACAAAATGTTGCCTGAGGGCTGGCTCACAAAAAATTGGGATTAGTTTCAATGTGGTATGCTGAGAACTGCATTGTGCATAAATCGAGATTCACTCTGCCAGAAATTGTGACATTTTACTTGATATCAGGTTAGTAAAAGGAAGAGGAAAGTTAGTTTTCTGCCTATAAAAAATGAACTGACCTGTAATAAACAGAAAATCTGGTTTGAAAACTAACCTGAGCTAATAGAGATGAATGGAGAACAGTACCTTCAGGTTCTGATTTTAATTCTTGTGGAAATGATTCCCAAAGCTCATAATTAAAGATAACAAACTCTTGTAGGTATAACTATTTCCATCCCCATGTCAGGTCTTCTCTGGTCAGTTTGCACAGTGGCGCTACCGGGAGGATTATTAATTCACAGAATAAAAGCTGTGTGCATTGTAGAAGGTTTATAGGTACTTAGGAGTTTAAGTCTCACTTCCACTGTGTCAGGGAAGTGAAAACTAATAGGACTGAGAATCCTGCAGCAGTTAATCTCTGCTAGAAAATAATCTCCGCTGTAACTACAATACTCCACGTGGTGTTACCTTTTACTGTATGCACTTTCTGCTGTATTCTGTAGAGTGTTTGGACATTTCAGTCACCGCTCAGAGTGGCAGCTGGTGAAAATTGATTACAAGTCCATTTTTGATCGGAGATGTACAGAAGAGGACTACTGGACTTGGCAACTCCACAGCCAGGTGAGAAGCAGGGAGGCTGGGATCTGACCTGAGGCAGCTAATGATCCTACAGTTAAGAATCAGCAGAGAGGCTGCGGTGTTTTTCTGTTAGCCTGATTATCCTTTACTGGATGTTTTATTTTTCTCTTAACATAGATGTGTTGGCTGCAGATTGCACCCTATGAGCCCTGAAGAATGAACAGTGTCTTAGCTTGTTCTGTAATTAATGAGTAAGACTCTGTGTTATAAAAGAAGCAGAGGTTTGAGGTTCTGTGCAGGCAATTAGCTAAGACTCTTACCTTCCAGCAGGCGGATGCAGCTGCAGCAGAATTGCTGCTGCTGAAATACGCCTGAAATCCTTCTCTCTTAGAATTCACAAGCAGTTCTCTCATCCTTACCTCTTTTCTCTTCTGTTCCTCTTGTGTCTCAGAGACTTTAGACCCTTCTAGCTCTCTCACGCTTATTTCCCCAGGTTCTGCCCTCTCACTCTCATGTCTTATTCACTCATTTTCGTATTGCTCTGTCTCTCTCAGCTGTGATGCATCTGCTGCAGGAACCAGACAGTTTATCTACTGTTCTGTTGCCCCCCCCCCGTGTCCTGTTCCTGGCACACGTGATACAGGACTGCATGATTCTTGAAATTATCACTCAGGTGTCCCAAGAGTCACTGTGCTCATTCCTGTGGGCAGGGGGCATCTTACAAGTTCTACTAAGTTTGGCATGGCAGCCTGTGTTCAATCAGGTTAGAACAAAATAAAGCCCAAATTCTGTGGTCATTTAAACACCACAGTCTTCACTGCAATCTAAAGAGGTACACCCATTTGTATCATCAAATGTTGTCTTGCTGGGCAAGAATTTAATAATGGATATGAAATGAAAGTAGCTTTACTCAGATTGGCTGCTCACACAAGGCACAATGTCACACTAAAAATACCAAATATGACTTAGATGTTGAGATTCAAGAATTCACAGGATTTTGCACCAGGTGCCATTTGGGCCTTTCTCTTTTCTTGGTCAAATCAAAGGTCTGAAAAGTTTATTTTTCCCATAGTGATCTTAACATCACAAAATGTAACAAGCGAGATCCCACTTTTTTTTCTTCTTTACTTTCTTGTGATTGCATAAGCAAAAATGCTAAGAATTTTGCAGTATATCTTTGAAGATGTTGGCTTTGGAGCTTGCAGAACTATTTTTAGGAAGGTGGCTGTGGACTTTTGACTTTTGCTTTGCTTTCCTTTGAATTCACAGGGCTTTGCCACATTCCCTAGATATAAATGTGCAGCAGGGTGTTCAAAATAGTGAGAGATCAAGGAAGTGTTAACATCCAGTATGTTACAAATCAAACCCTGGACAAAATGAACTCAGAAAGTGTCGAAAATATTTAGGTATATACATATTACTAATTTCTACTGAATAAAATCATTGCCAAAGTGATTAAACTAACGGAACAGACCTACTCTATCTTGGAGTGGAGGGATCAGGCTCTGTTTTCAGTTGCTGTGAAACTTAATCTATAAACAAGAAACGAGTCTGACTCAAATACTCATTGGGCTTGGAACAAATTCAGAATTGAATCTGATTCATAGGTAACCCCAGATAATTTCTTGGTGTGTATTGGAAAAGCTACTTTATTTCAATTAAAGCTTCCATAACTTTAATTAGCTCCCCTGTACTGACATGGTATTTGACTTTCCATCCTCATCCCTTGAGTCATAGCCCTTAATATTGCACAGTCTTGGAAAAAATGGGTGTTACAAACAGCCTAGTGGGTGTAAGAGAAATATATTTTTGGTTTTGTTTCCAGGGAGAAGCTTGCATCATGGGAGCAAAAAGGATCTACAGGAAGCGCAAGTCAGAGAAGAAATGCATGCAAGGAAAATATGCTGGGGTTATGACTTCAGAGCCATGTGTATGCACAGATGCAGACTTTGACTGGTGAGCAATGGGCACACGAATAGTGTGAGATTACCTAAAATGATGTGCTTCCCACCTTACCAGAATACAGGGGTTGGCAGAGTCACCAACCCCCATACTAAGTTTCTAGAAGTCTGACTAATGCATTGTCAGTCTGTTAGTGGTTAGGCCCCTTCAACTCATAAGTGCTTCACAGTCATGAAACACTTCTGATAAACCTCTGCTTTCATTGCAGAACTTCTCACTCTGAGAACATATGTTTTTATTCCTTTGAAACTGATTGAGTGATTTGCTGCTATAAAGGCTTGTTGCTAGTAGCAGAACAAAAATACCACAGTGATACTTGCTGGGGGGAAACAGGCATTTATTTCTTTTACATGCACCTAGAGGAAACTTTCTGCAAAAGGTCTGCTGGGCTGTAAAAGAACTTGAGGATACTTGGATGGCTAGGGATGTGTGACCGACAGGTCACATAGACTCATGAGACCCTTTGGATCTGTTGGAATGGGGAGAATTTTGAAATCCTCTTGTTAGAAGTAGACTGAGAAAAATATCCTTAAAAGTACTGCAAATCTCTGAGCTGAGCAGAGTGCTAAAAAGCCTTTCTGACCTAAGAGGTTATTCCTCCTCCTGGTGAAACCACTTCTGTTTTAGAGTAGGATATCATGATCCTCCCCAATACTCTGAGCTCCTGTTATTCATGTAGTCCTCATATCTGGATTTTGACTTTATCCATTTCAGCTTCCTTCTCCACTGCCTCTGAGGAAAAAGAATAAAACATCCAGTTCACAAATATTTGCCACAAATAGTCATCACCTGTTTATCTACTTAATGCAATCAGGAATGTGGTCTTATGGAGATTTTTCCACAGAATGTTGGAAAAGCCACAGAGAAGAGAAGACAAGGGAGGAAAGAAATGGCAAGAAAAGAGTTCTGCTGGCTTGACTCAATTTCTCAGCCCAGATACACTGTGTTAACAAAGTCAAAGCTCTGCTTCTGTGCCATAGTGTTCAGTGCATGCCTCATTGAACTCCTCTTCACTAGGCTTCACTGCAGTAGCACCCTGCATAAGCTGGGCTGAAGGGAAATTTGGAGGAATATCAGTCAATAAAACCTTGCTGTGAAAGGATGTCCTCTGGAGGGGGTTTCCTGCAAGAAGAAGCAGCTCTTTTCTCATCCTCATTTATGACAATTCCATGGTGCTTTTGAATGCTCTTTTTTTTTTTAAGCTGATCAGGGCTCTGAATTGAAGTTGGTTTAAGGGAAGTCATATCCTTCAGGTAGGGAGAAGCCCCTGTACTGGCTGCACTTGGATTTACAATCTTAACGTAATCTGGACAGCTTTTTGCATTAATAGTAATGGTTGCAGGATACGGGTTTGTATACAGAATGAAAGAAGACAACAATCCCTGCCCTATTCAGTGTAGTTTGGACACTGAAATTGTAAAGAGAACATTTTATTACCTATGCTTGTCAGAGCTTGGAGTAAAATCAATCATATGTATATGAGAAAGTTACAACAAACAAACAAAGAGCATCATTGCTGTTAGATCTGTGTGTTGTTTTATCAGTTCAGAGCGTAGAAAAAAGCCAGTCATAAAACAGACTTAAAGATTGTCTGTTGTTTTGTGTTTGTTTTTTTCTCCTAACAATATCACGAGTTCAAGGTTCTTTTCAAATTTGTATTCAGTCCATTGTGGTTCTTTCTCAGAGAAAAGGGCACATTTGTTTATTGCTTTACACAGCAACAAAACTGAGTGGCATTAGAAATGACTATAGATTCTCCAGCCTCGGGAATCTGAGCTCTTCTGACAGAAGATGTCTCTTCCTGTGGCCTCGATCCAAACACGTACTGCTCCCTGCATGGGCTGCAGCTCACAGCCAGAGGGCAATGGTGCTTCAGGAATAGGTGTTCAGGAACCCTCAACAATTCTGTCCTAGCAACAGCCTGGAAACGAGATTGTTCTTCTTCATTTAATTGATTTGGGTAAATGGATGACACCGTTACTTGTGTGTTATTAAAGCATTAATTTAGCTGTTTTCCTTCCATTGTGTTCCTTCCTGCTGTTTGGATGTTATTACAGCAATATCTCTTTGGTAGAAACACCTTCCAGACATGGACGGAAATCTTCAGTGATGCTCATTCTTCAGCTACCTGTCTCCCATGTCCTTTAATAGAAACTTTGAGTGAAGTGTTGCTCTGCCAGTTCTCCCTCTGAACCCATTGCCATTAATACTGAGCACTTCTCCCATCCGTGTTCCTAAATCTCATGCCTTCAAGGGGAGCAGCAGTCTGTTTATGCTGGTGCTAGTGACTTCAGATAGCTAAAAAGGTGCAAAGGAGCCTTAGTGCAATTGAGAGTCAGGCATATTTATCTCACCGATGATATTGGTGAGGATCTGTCTGGCTTTTCTTTTTTTTTTTTTATCGGATAGGCTTTAAATTACAGACCTGCCTGCTAGGTTTAATTCTTATGCTAAAACACCATAGTCCTCTGCCATGAGAAACTGTCTTGATAAACTGCGTTGAGGCAGAAGGCAGATGCTGAATGTGATCAGACTGTGTTGGCTTCATGTGTTAGCACTCATTGATTCATGCAGTCATGCAAATGTCAGTTCTGAAAAGAACATATATTTGCATCCTAAAGTTAATTAAATCTGTTTTATCATTCAAGAGGGCATAGTTAGCTGACAAATAGTGATTTTGAATTCATTTTAGTTCATTTTGAATGGTCGTCGAAAATACAGATTCAAGTCTGAGATGTATCTCTGCATCCGTAGGGTTCTAGATATCTACAAGACACAGATTTACTGGAGGACAGTTGGGGGTTTTATATTCTGTTAAGATAAACTGGAATGACCTGTACTTCTGAACACTGGTGCAGTTATAATCATATGCCTTCCTAGATCCATCATTCAAAGTGTTGCTAAATCCATCCTTCTCTTAGACAAATCCCAGCTCGAGTCCTTGGAATACTAGGAAGCAAGTAGAACTCCCTTAAACAGAAATCTGTTCTTATACCATAGTTTAGTATTAGAAAATATTAAGTTAGTAAAATGATAGTAAGACATTACTATCTGTGGCCACGGTTAATTATTTCTAGAGGACCTTTTGGAAACTACAGATCAAAGGTGACTTTAAACATAGGTACCTTGATTCCAACCTACTTAAGGTCTGGAAAGTTTGCAGAGCAGAGAATGTAAAACTATGGGTAATGTTTACTGTTGCTGGCATGGTTGACCTTAAGGTGAAGCTGTTAAAATTAAGGAAATCCTGTGCTCATGTTATAAGTCATCTCTGTAGTCTCAGAAACTTTTCTGACTTACCTGATAATTTCTTATCTTAAAGCAGTGGGATTTCAATAATATCATGTAGATTTACAGTTCTTCCATTACAATAAGTTTGTCACATGTGTTTTCAAGCAAAAGACCTCCAAAAGGGATTTCTTTTCTTTGATTTTTACTTGTACACAAACATAAAATCAGGGAATTTACCATGAGTTTGGAGCAGGGTTATAGAACTTCTAGATTCAGTCTGTCTTTAATTGCAAGGGAGGACTTGTAAATAGAAGAAATAAATGAATACGCAAATACCATTCCTGTTTAAACCAGTAAAAGTGGTCTATATTTTAAACCATTGTCAGTGAGAGACAGATAGTAGGCTGCTTCACGCTGATAAAACGAGCCCTGCTGTTAAATGTTCTGCTCTTATTTTGACAAGTACATTATCTATTTCACCTGAGTTCTTTTCAAGCAGGCAGAAAATGCCATCAATATATGCAAATTCCAATTCCCAGGTACCTGGCAGTGACTTGGCTAGCTGATTGCAGGCTAGAGCTGATGCCTTTCCTGTTTCCATATTTTGCTATACTTGCTCTTGCTATGGCAATCCAATTGATGCTAATGCTTGTTGATTGCTGCAAAGCCTGTTGTGCCAAATTGTAGGCAGCAATTTGTTGTCAGCATCAGTGTTCTGCGTGCACCAGCCTGTAGCCAAGGAATTCATTAAATTCCAAGACTGCGGAGGTGAACGGGGGGCTGGTGCATCTGTAGAGAGATACGGTACAACAATTCATGTCATTTTCTGGGATTACATTTCTGTAGGGCCTTAATGAGCCAGACGATTTGCAAGCCTGAAAATGACACTGTGAAACTTCTGTGCTTAGAACTATTTTTGCTGTGGAAAATCCTATCATTTCATTCTCTTGAGTTTGAGAAATCCATGCGTAGTCAAACCTAGTGAAGTCAAACTTCTGTTGCCCAGATTTGTGAGTTCTAACAGGAAACAAAATTAGAGCATGAGTATAGATGTGTATAGTAAGAGATCACAGATGGTTACTGCTGTATTAAGTTGGACTACAGATACTGATCCCCTCTGCAGCAGATCTCACTGCTCTGTTTTGTTTTCACCTGATTACATAACATTGTGTGTGTGGAGTGTTACAGCCTTTTTAATTAGAGTGATACAAGATAACTTAGAAATACAGTGCTGCAAAGTGTTGACAAATGAATTACAAAAATCCGGGAGTCCCACTTGTGTGTAAATATTTGTTTTCTGTAAGCAAATCAGAGTGGTGTTATTCTTCATTATAAAGTGTTTCTACAGCCATAGTGTTTTTAATCCAACAAGGATGATTAGAGGACTGCATAGCAATGGGAGAATGCACTGTCTAATGCTTCCAAAGCAATTAAGCAACATTCAATCACTAGCATCTGAGTAAATAGATTCATGAAAATTCAATCACAAAAACTGAGTAAAAGACCCATTTAGGTCATCTGGTTCATTGCTGTTTCCTAGAGCATGTTCTCAATTACTCGTAGCTATCCCAAGCAGCACAGCTGCCAAAATGTTCTTATGGAGCAGTTGTGCAGTTCATTGTATTTAGTTTTTCCACGTGATGTGTAGCATTAGTTGTTTTGTTGCTGTTGTTGTTAATGTCATCTTTTAAATTGCTGTTTTTAGATTACATCGAAACATTTATTTTCTTCAAAAGTTACAAGCGTGGGTAAAAAATTGTGATAAAAGCCCTCTCCATGTCCACCTTATGAGTGGCTGAGATCCTTGGGTTCAGCTCAGAGCGGAGGAGGCTGAGGGGAGGCGTCCTGGTAGCCCACTGTTCCTCTCAGTGAGCGGAGTGGCAGCAGTGAGCTCTTCTCTCTGGTCACAGTGATAGTGCCCCAGGAAACAGCATGGAGCTGTGTCAGGGGAGGGTAAAGCAGGCGTTAGGGAAAAGTTCTGCTCCAGAGTACAGTGGGCATGGCCCAAGCTGCTTTAGTTCAGGGATTGTTTGATCTGTGCTCTCAGTAGTATGGTGGTCCTATGTGGAGCCAGGAGTTGGACTCCCTGTGAGCCATGTTCTAACTCTAGTTGCTAACACTTAGATCTCCACACACATGTGCACACGGAACAGGAAACATTCTGCGTACACACAGCCTGTTCTTTTTTCTCCTTATTTTGTACAATTTTTTCCTTCCCTTTCTCTGCATTTGGTTCTTCCGCATCACATCCCCTAATAACTTTTGTACAATCCACAAATGCTATTCCTTAGCATGGCATAATGAAACCCATTCCTCCATGTGCAGTAACCCAGCTCAGTCTGCAAGGCAGTCTTAGTAGTGCCTCTCCAGTTGTCAATCTGGTGAGCCTCCACCCCACCTTGGCCTGATGGTTGTCTTTTGACCAGTTCTTAGAGGAGCCAGGACAGGGATTCCACTGGCTGCATCCATATTATTGAGGGTTTTGGTCTCCTGTTTTTCTTCGTTCTTCTTTATGTATCCAAATGTAAGCCTTTAATCATATAATCTAAGAATATTCTAAACCTGTTTTGTTTCAACATTTGGCTACTTGATACAAAGTTACTAAAGCTAAGAAGTACCATTCTAAGATTAAAGGTCATACGGCAACTGGAATTTTGGAATGGTGTCTGTGAACCTCTGGATGGCAATTCTTAGAAATGGTGACCCATTAGCTTCTCAGTTATACTGTATGGAGAAAGCTCAGTAAAAGAAATGAATGATTTTCTGTCCAAACAGTCCTCATTACTGAATGACTAGAAAACTAACCACGCAAACAGAATACTGGATAAACAGGTTTTATAACTGAACATTATTTATTGTGTGTTTATCTGAAAGCAAAAAACAGTTGGAAATGTTGCTTATTTTTTGTGGAACTGAATCAAACCTAGTCTTAGCTAAACCCAAATTGGAGCAAAAGATTCCATTTTGATTTATTGTTTCTAAAACTTTTCTTTTTTCTTTTCTTTTTATTTAATTTTTTTTTTTTTTTTCAACATTTCCACTTCCAAACCAAAACAGAAATTACCAAATACCCTCTGTACCTTCTCTCTGCTCCTTCAGAGCGTAGGTTTTCCTCTGCAGCTTGTATAACATGGTTTTCAAATATATCAAACTGTTTAGCACTTCGGTTTTCTAAGAGGTAACTGTGACAGCAGTGGTTGAAATAGGTGAAGATCTCTGGCCTTTATCATATTTTGGTTTAGAGATGAGCTAGAGAAACACTGTTGGACTGCCTAGGGAGAACAGATAAAGCAGTAGCTCATGAACTGCCTGGAAGAATCGTAATGATCTAGTTCTACTTTTTTGTGCTGGGATGTATGCAGGGTAACTTTATGCATAACAAAAGCTAAAGCAAGATGAAGAATCTGTTATTCCATCATTAAAAAAAATCAGAAACTCTGGTAAACATACTGAGGAGAATCACAACTTGTATCAGTAGCAGACAGTGTGAGCTAATACCTGTGTTAATTCTTCTTTTTTCTTTTTTAAATGTTTGTGTGTAACTCTCTTTTAATGTTCAAACAGTGATTATGGATATGAACGTCACAGCAACGGGCAGTGTTTACCAGCATTTTGGTATAATCCATCTTCCTTGTCAAAAGACTGCAGCCTTGGCCAGAGTTATCTCAACAGCACTGGGTAAGTGGTGCACTAGACAGTATTTTAGCCAGAGCAGACACTTCACAGTGAACTTCAACCCAATGATGACAGCATTTACCACTGGTGACTCAAAGCTGGGTGAAGTCCTTGGGACTTCTTCATTATTGAATTTTCTGGGGTGCACAGTAATGCCCTCCAGATCACCATCACATACGGTCCAGAACTTTCTATGAAAAATGATGTCTTAAAGAAACTTGAGTGGAAAATGTAAGGCAAAGGCCAGACCACTAAATCTCTGAAAGCAATCCTGTTAAAATCATTCAGGATCACATGAGCCAGAAAGGGTGGGAAATAAATTAGAGGAAAGAGATAAAACTGATATATATGTACAAAGAAGTAATATATGGGCAGTTAGTCCAAATGCTGATTGTTCTTCGGCTCTCTCGAACATCAATAAAAGATGCATTTTGTATTAAAAGACTGACCTCAAACTGCATTTCTCATGCAAATGACTGAAACAAAAGAATCTAAGATGTTTTGGGATTCTGTACATTCAAATATAGGCATAATTTGTCGTCTTCTTCCACTTTATCATTACTGTAAGTTCTGGAGGCTTACATCTTTAGAATTGTCTCACTGCTGATGACAAAGGAATGGTTTTGAGACATGAGAAAATCTGTTTAACTGCCTAAAAGTGTAATAATATAATACAATTATACTATATATGTATATTACTTATTTATAACTTTATAATTATCTAACTTATAACCTACATTGTCATAGAATTCTATGTTTTATGCAATATATGTAGTATGTGATATACAGCTGTGCTAAATATTACCTGTCACTAACAACATTATTAACTGCTTACACGTTAGGTATGTGAGGAATACTTGGCTGAGGAAAATCATAAAACGTATTTGAGAATCTGCTTTCTTCCAATCTCCTTAGTCTAAAGAAACCTCAGAAATGTACCCCTGTTCCCAGTTAACCCTGTTGTGCTCCCTGTCAGAATCTTGTACAGTTTCTCCCTTTACCTTTGCAGGTACCGAAAAGTTGTTTCTAATAACTGCACGGATGGTGTGAGAGAGCAGTACACAGCAAAACCACAGCAATGTCCTGGCAAAGCTCCCCAGGGACTTCGCATAATAACCTCTGATGGCAAACTGACAGCTGAGCAAGGACACAATGTCACTTTTCTGGTGCAACTGGAAGAGGTAGGCTCTACGGGTGTATTTCAGTCTGAGTCATGCTAACCGTAGTTTTAAAGTGGTGGAAAGGTGAATAGAGTATAGGACAAAAACAGCTCCCTTATGTATCTGTCGAAGATACTAGATATAAGGAAAAAACATTTTTACAATAATGCTGGTGAGGCACTGGCGCAGGTTGGCCAAAGAGTTGGTATCTCCACTGTTGGAGACATTCCAGGTCAGACTGGACCAGGCTCTGAGAACACCTAGCTGTAGGTGTCCCTGTTCATTGCAGAGAAGTTGAACTAGATAACTTTTAAGGATCCCTTCCATCAAAGGATTTTATGATTCTCTGCATACTGGTTAAGTGCCTGGGGGTAAAATCTCAAGATGTCATCAGCACTGAGTCTGAAATTGATTGCAGATGCAAAGCTGACTCAGTGTCTGACTGGAATCAGTGTTCCTGTTATATCTCTAACGTAATTTATTACGCCACAGTACTCCTCTTTCCATTTATGAGTCTCTAGAAAAAAAGTTTTTTTTTCCACCTGTTTTCTCTGCTTACCACTTCCTTATCTGTGATAATTGTAGGCTCCTAAATGATAACTCCTACAAAGTAATTATTATATCATTTTCCCTAATCCAGTTTGATTTCTTTAAACTTCTACCCTTTGTCATGTGCAATTGGACAATAAATCCTAAAACAACTATGCTTTTGCACTGGGGGATAATGCATATCCTTTAAGAGCTTTAGAGTATTCAAGGAAATTACTTCTGACCCTCACCATACCACATGTTATTAGTAGTGAGGATAGAGAAATGAGGATGACCTCTGGTGCTGAGTTTTGTAGGGACATGTTGGGGTTTTTGCATTCTACTACTGATATTTTCCCAGCAAACAAGTGTCCTGATCTGCAAAGACAATAATGTAATAAATCGTATCTAACCTTAAGCAGTTCTACAACTGGAATGTTCATTTTCTCCAAAAGGTGGTCTCCATTATAGTAGTTAAACTCATACAACATAGCTACTGCAGATGCCATCATAGCAGTTTGAACATATACTTTGACCAGGATACATTATTGATTTCTATGTTTAAAGATGAAGAAAAGAAGTACAAAATGAGATTCAAAGCTTTCAGACTTTATTTCAAAAAGCATATAAGCAACCAAGAAAGATGTTTTTATATTCTCCCTCCAGAAGTGTTTATTGCTGCCTTTCTATTCTCAGAAAAGTCTTACAACAGACTGGGAGAAAGAGATGGGTAACCTAAGACATCAATCACAGATCTGTCAAGGAATTATACCAATAGGGGGAGATGCAGTAACTCACGCGTTGGGAAACTCAGAACAAATTTCCTGCTTTGAGTGTTTGAACTCGCATATCTTGTAAGAGTGTCCTTGACACTCTGCTACACACAAATCTGTTGTGAATTGTACTGTGTTTTCAGTTGGTCACGATCTTTTCTGATAACACTGTTTCAGTTTTCATCGGAGTTTGGATGCATGCTCTGCATCACAAAGTATGTAAAGCATATTTTGATAAGTGAGTCAGCTGCAGTGGAAATCTAAAGGGGACCCGTTTTGGGGGATATTTCATAAGGAGGAGTTTAGGAATTGCTCTCAGCATTGAAAAGTATTGATCAGCCTGCAGCCTTGGTAATTACTTCCCTGCCAGATGAATCCTGACCTTCTGCTCCTAGATTTGTCAACGTATAGAATTTGTAGAATTTTGGAGGTGAATTTGACCTAATCTGACAGTGACGTTTGGGCTGATGTTACAACAAAAGAAATATTCAACAAAGATGGAAGTTATGTGCTTATATGATATGAGAGAATAAATTGTAGTCATAGGAACGTATTTTTATATACACTAAATTATTTCTCAAATAAACTATTTCAGTAAAAAAATCACACCACTCACCAGGAAAGTTAAACAACGCAGTAAAAGAACAACCATCCTGTCGTAGAGCAGGTATCAAATTCACATAGTTGCAGAACTGCTGAAGCTGGAAGGGATCACTGGAGTTTGCTTAGCTTGATTAGTGTGGACTTTGTTTCGTCCAACGCCTGTGAAACTTTCCTTCCTTTACAAACAAGATAGAAGATACAAGCCATTTTCTGTTGAGTTGTGCCTTGTGCCAGTGTACACCACAGTATAATCTAGGATGTTTACCATCCAGCCAGTCTGTGTCACCCGCTGTTGCTGAAAAGAAGGCATCAGGCATGCTGAAAAAGGCTAGATATTCCTGTGTGTGCATGTGTATCATTCTCAAGGTCATATGGAGAAATTCTGTCCTATTCAACCCCCTGCAGTAATGGCCAATATTTTTAGTGCTTGACGCTGGTAGGGACTCTTTGACTTTTGTTACAATCAACATTTTTCAGGACAAAAAACAAAACAGATGTAAACCTTTGCTTATGTTATGTTTTCATCTTGGCATCTCTTGTACTCTTCTGAGGTGGCTTGTTTGAAGCCTTCAGATCTGCAGAGCTGTTCCAAAAAACACAGCTTCCCAACTCACTTTGTTCAAGCTTATGTTCCACTTAACAGTTTTAAACTAAAAGAGGAGAGATTTAGATTAGACATGAGGAAGGTATTCTTTACTGTGAGACTGGTGAGGCCCTGGCATAGAGAAGCTATGGATGCACCACCCCTGGAAGTGTTCAAGGCCAGGCTGGATGGGACTTTGACCAATCTGGTCTAGTGGGAAGTTTCCCTGCCCATGGTGGGGTGTTGGAACTGGACGGTGTTTAAGGTCCCTTCCAACCCAAAGCATTCCATGATTCTGTGACAAGCAAGTAAACGATAAGAAGCTGGTGAACCACAGCTTGAGATAGAAAGTATTATTTTCTTTTTGGATCCTACCTGGGTCTGAAAAGAGATTCAAACTTTAGATGCAGGCTCTCTGGAGGCCCTGAAAAACCACTGCATTTATGAAGTAGAAGGGGATATCTGAGAGAGGAGTAAAATTGTGGCAGTGAAAACTGATGTTTCCACTAAGTTGTGGGAGTCAGGCAGGATTCACAACACAGGGCTTTCTTGTAGAGTACCCTTATGTCTGCGGTGATGCTCAAGGCTGGGACTGCAGACTGTCATTCTAATCATGACAGAGTGTCAGATTGGGAAGGTTCCTCCAGGTTAGTTCACGTATTAGACTACATACAATCATTGTGAAAATCTTACTGTATGGAAGCAGTCAGAAAGCATCAGTGCTTCCTTTTATAATTAGCATGTATCTCATTGTACAAAGTGTTGTGGAAGTATTTAATAAGCAGAGCACCATAGTTAAGCTGGTAATTTTGTTCTTAAATTCCCATTGAGCAAAGGAGAATAGTCACAGTCTGTCACTAACTGGCAGAATGGGAGAAAACCAGCTGTGCTTTAAAGGCAATTTCCCATTGCCTCAAAATGATGTCACTTTAAAGGTTAATCCTTTGTCCTGCTCTGGCCTCTTTATGCTCTGTATGCAGATAAAGATCAAGCTGGTGCCTTTCACCCGTAGCACTCATCTAGAGTTGCTTCTCATCCTACATAACCTTAATCCTTGCTTAATTTTTCCTCAAGAAAAAGAAATAATAATAATTTTAAAAAATCCACTCAAATAAAATGCTACAAAGACATTTTTTCCAGTCAAATTCTTAAACCCAACATCCCTGACATATTTTCCTGCTCTGCTGTAGAAAATAGAGGAATTTTGTTAAGCAAGTGTTATTTCTGCATGTCTTCCCCATCACATGGTCATGAAGATCTCTTTCCTGTCACAAACCTACTTGTTATTTCTATATTTCACTTATTGGTATGAACATCAGACATTTGTGTTTCTTGCTGCACTGTATCAGCAGAGACACTAGAAGCAGCAGCTTCCAGAACAACTCTGTTCAGCACAATGGCTTTCAAACTTGTTTTATCTGATTGCTCATGTGTCTTTGCTGAAGAAAAGGTTGGTAAAGACATTCAGGGCAAAATGGTTCAGGGCTTTGGCTGTTTCATTACAGATAATTCATGGAGAAACTGCCTACTCTAATTTATTTTTTATCCTGATAAATTGACAGCCAAAAGTCTTTGACATTCCAGATCTGCTTCACCTCTCACTTGCCAAAGTCACTCCACTGGCTTGCATTTGACTACTTTCTTCTTCTATATGATGTTTTGATTAGGTTGATATGCGGGGAAAACTCTTTAGTTCTTACAGTTTTAGCTATGGACTGAAATTCAGGCAATCTGAACTCATTCCTGAAGTGCTCTCTGAGCTATTTCTGTGTGAACTTAAGTAAGAAACTTAACCTTTTTGCTTTTTCCTTCATTTGAAAATAGAACTTCGCTTACTACCTCATGTCTTCCAGGCTATTCATATTTATGCTGAATGCTTATAAGGCCAAAGAAATCTCCCGTGCTAAGTGAATATAAAAATAAAGCCCTGGATTTCGTGTAGACCACTGTGGCTTTCTGTAATGACTTTCAATAAGTGGTTACCCAACGAACATTGTGCCTGGGTGCATTTAATGAGCTCAGGGGACTCTGCTGACAAAGGAACAGTGTTATGAACATTTCCCTCCATGGCACTGTGGCCTGGTGTAATTCAGAATGCAACTCAGCTGAAATCTCTGGAGGTAAGCTTAGTGTTAGGATTGTTTTGTTGTTGCTGTACTTAAAATTAAAGATGCGAAGCTAGTAGTACATGAAAGCACAGGTTTTTCAGTGTCCTACTTTGATATCACAGTGTTCCCTCTTTGATATCACAAGTTAGTGAAGATTATGAAATTCTGAAACCTTTATCCTAACTTTAAACACACATTGTGAATCATGGCTGTTTATCTTTCTAACACCAACACATCCCTCTTAATAGCACACAGCCAAAGATCAGTACATCCCCTCTTCCATACCACTGTCATCTGAATTATAATTGCATTTTCTCTGTTACTGACGATGACAAGATTGTTAGGTGAAATCAAAGCCTTTCATGCATTTTTTTAATCCTCTGCTAAAATTCCATGAAAATGTATAAAAGTTGACCTTTCCTTCAT